ATCTGAGAATATTAATGCAAGGAACGGGTTAGGGAACTACTACTTTTTCCGGTAACACATATTCTTCAAGACAGAAAATGAGTAAGAAACATATCATACAAGTAAAAGATCTAGAGCATGCCAGGCAATACCACCAGCTGTAGCCAAAAGCATACAAGAGATTCCTAGTGCTCCTAAAGTCTCAAATTTACCATGTCCTGCAGCAAAAGAAAGCAAAGCCTTGAGCAAGCAAACACGGTTGCTTTAGTTTAGCATCTTGACATAAACAGCACTAAAACAAGATCAAGTCACAGCAAACCTCATCAACGGCGAATAGTCAATACTAATATGCATATCTACAATGTGTCAGAGATTTCTCCTCTAGAGCATCATGACACGTCCTGTAATCTAATTATTTGTTTTCAACCCAACGTTGAGTGAAAGTAAACAACACGAACATTCACATGAGATAGAGAATAAATGTCATCGTCATACACAAAATGGATTCAACGTAAGGCCTGGCAAGACATGAACCACCATGCATCAGGTAATAGAGACTCGAAAGAAGAGATAACTTTTAAAACTGGACCATTACATGTGATCCATAAGGAAAGGGTACTGGTAGATGTCCATAGCATTTAAACTATCCAAAAGGACAGACACAAAGGTTGAGTTGCCAAGGCCATGCAATTTCAGAGACATTGATACCGTCCTTCAAGATCCCTGAAGGTTTCTACAGTGTTGCTCCTTCACGTCGATTTCAATTCATATGGCATACAGGTAGAGATCAAGACAAGAATAAAACTTATTTTAGTCAGACTAGTGAGGGTATGCGCTTGAAGAGATTACCGTAGGGGTGATCTTTGTCTTTAGGAACGTTTGCAGCTTTATATGACCATAATGCAACGCCACTAAGAACCTGCAGTTAGGAAAAAAGTGGTAGATAGAAGAAATAAGGACAAAGCAAGGAATTAAAGAGAGATTTAGAACAGTTGAAATAACATCCCTCCCCCCCTTAGAAACCTTGAAAGAAGAAAGCTAGCTGTCAAGCACAAAAATGGATGTTTGACTATGCCATGTAAAACTATCCATATGTGACTAAGCACAAAACCAGCCTTTACTTTGCTCCCCGAATACACCAAATAGTTCCATTGAAAGAAGAGAAGTACAGCGACGGGGTAAACGGGATATGCTTAAGCTAAGGATGGGCTTTTTTTGGTTGCCCCATTGAATTTCTAAGATAACTCAAACTGTCTACGTTTTCAAGATGATACGATGTTCTCAAACGGTTCATCTTTTTCATATGTATTTTCAAATTTCCCACATTTTATTTTACAATAGGAGGACAACCATCACAAATCTTCTTTGTTTTGCCTTGACCAATCTTTGGAGAATTCATGTCCATCATAGCCCACTCTCATCAATGGAAATACATAAACTTTGTTTACACATTCAAGAGCTCCTCTAGATTCTTTGGTACTTAATGTCTTTACGTTAGAACTATCCAACAAGGTGCTTAGTGAATAAGCTATTAAGTTTTACTTCCCAGGGCAAAAGAATTAAAACAACCCGAGGTGATCTGACGTAACCCCGAAGAAAAAAAGATTCTACTTCTCAATCCAAAGATCGAAGACTAGGAACAGCCAAAAGAAAATGAACAACCAAGTGATGAAGAAAGCTAATCGACCATACCACGTCGGAGGCAGAATGCGCAGCGTCGGCAATGATGGCGGTGCTCCCCGACAGATAGCCCGTCACGGCCTTTCCCGCGGCCAAGCAGACGTCGGCGGCGAGGCCCATCCGGAAAATACGCTCGCCCTCCTCGCCGGCGGAGAACCGGCCGCGATCGTGATCGCGATCGCGATCGTGGTGAGAGCGGCCCAAGTTCCACCTTCTGGGGACATGGCAGCAGCAGCCGCCGCCGCCGCCGCCGCCGCCGCCGCCGCCGAGAGATGGGTCTCGGAGGTGGGGAGGGAAGTGCTGTCGGATCACGCGACCGCGACGGAGGATCTTGTCGGCGGCGTCCGGTGATGTTCTCGAGATGGAGGCCCTGCAGACGGTGCGGAGGTTGCAAAATCTGAAGCCCATGGTTGTCGGATTAACGTCTTTTGCCGAGGATTGCTCTTTCCATGGGAATGGGAAGCGGGGAGAAGTCTGTGCGTATAATTTATGAATTTATAAGTAAATCTTCACACAAATAAAAATCTTATTTTATATTTATATTATATTGCATTTACGTTCTTGGTCCAAATACCTTCAAATTATTTCACTTTAGCTCAGCATGCAATCATTTTCAAAATGTTTTAGAATAAGTATAATCAAATCCTTCCGGCGATATATCTTTAGCTATGGTCAGCCAACCTTGCTAACTAGCAAGCCTGAATCCCAACACCTCTTTTTTAGAGTTTTCGGAATGTGGTATTGACATGGTATTGGTATGGCTCCATGTCACAAAAGTAGCATTTTTTTGGAAAAAAACACAGAAAGCTAGAATTCAAAAAAAAAAGGATAAATGTATTTGAAGTTTTAAAACTTGTCACAAATGTATAATTGAGTCCTATAACTTTTAAAAAGTGCAATAGAGTCTTCAAACTTGTCAAATTTGTGCAATCAAATCTTTTCATTACCTCCCGTCTAACAATCCATTGATTGTTTTCCTGTCATTGCATTAGTCTTTGGCTTGTTTTCTTTCCCCCCTGCCTAAAATGTCAAACATATGTTGATGGGAATGAACTCGAGCTGGAATTCCAACAACAGGATGGTGGAAATGAGACGCGGGATCGGGACAATGCTAATTCGCCTGATTATACATTGTGCCGATGTATCTGATATTGGCATGAAACTAACAAGACATGTCACGAGTGCAAAAAATATGTGGGTGTCATTCACTCAAGAAAATGACGACATATCTAAGTTCTTGTAAAATATGAAGCAAATCTCTTCTTGGCCGGACAAAAAAAAGAAAACAGCGAAGATCGAGCGTTGAGTAGTTGGGAGAGGGATCTCCAGATGTTATGAAGCTCTCAATTGAACAAGGGTCGTGCAGCCATGGTTGAACTTGGGGAAAAGTGCCAAAAAAGTCCTAAACCTTTTGCATTAGTGCCAATTTAGTCCTAAACCTTTTTTTGGTGCCAATTCAGTCATAAACCTTTTGCATTGGTGCCAATTTAGTCCTAAACCTTTTTTTGGTGCCAATTCAGTCCTAAACCTTTTTAATTTGTGCCAATTCAGTCCTAAACCTTTTGTTTTTGTGCCAATTTAGTCCTTCCGGCCAATTTTGACCGGAATTTGCCGACGTGGACGCATGTCGGCCGCTGGCCGGTCACCGGCGCCGACGTGGACAACTTTAATAATATTTTAATATTTTTTTGAATTTTTCTTTTTTTTCCTTTTTTTTCTTTTTTTTCCAATTTTTTTTTTGGGTCACACTCCTTCCTCTGGCCGGTTGCCGGACCGGCAACTGGCCAAAGGCCAGAGGCCGGCAAGCTCGACCTCGCCGGCCACTGGCCAGGGCGGCCTCACCCGGCAAGGGCGAGCCTCGCCTTGGTCGGGTGAGGCTCGAGCCCTCGCCGGGTGAGGGTGCCCTTGGCCAGTGGCCGGCAAGGTCGAGCTCGCCGGCCTCTGGCCGGTCGCCGGACCGGCGACCGGCTAGAGGAAGGAGGGAGAGCCAAAAAAAAAAAGTGGAAAAAAAAAGGAAAAAAATAAAAATTCAAAAAAATGTTAAAATATTATTAAAGTTGTCCATGTCGGCACTGGTGACCGGCCGGCGGCCGGCAGGCGTCCGCGTCCGCAAATTCAGGTCTAAATTGGCTTGAAGGACTAAATTGGCACAAAAACAAAAGGTTTAGGACTGAATTGGCACCAATTTAAAAGGTTTAGGACTGAATTGGCACCAAAAAAAGGTTTAGGACTAAATTGGCACCAATGCAAAAGGTTTAGGACTAAATTGGCACCAAAAAAAGGTTTAGGACTAAATTGGCACTAATGCAAAAGGTTTAGGACTTTTTTGGCACTTTTCCCGTTGAACTTGTTTCAAGTGGACCGGTCTTCGCTCCATAAATTTACCTGATAACTCAAGTTCATGTGATCAAACCCAGTTTAGAATATAACCAAATATCATATCTCCGTTTGATTTTGTTGTTCAATTTAGGGTTTTCCGGTCGCCCCGGAGACCAAAATTTTTTTTGTTCTGCTGAGATGATGTTAATTGTACCGTTCGGGTCACTTTCATTTGGAAGTTTGAATTGTGGTTAGTATCACTGGTGCAAATTGATTTCACGGTACATGCAACTGATGCAATTCGGTCGAGATCTCAACAAGCCAAATGATGATGTGGCCCGGTGTCAAAGTGACACATCAACCATACACCAAAAAAGAGAATAGCAGCAGATAGAGAGAGCCCGCTGAGGGTCGCCAGACCATCACTCAACCTGGTACTTCTTGTGTGTTCTTCTATTCAAGAAACCAAATCAGCAAACAAATTTCAAGATTGAACTCTTTATCAGGCAATTCCTGTATTTATTAGTCCTATAATCGTGTTGAAAAACCAAGAGTGAAGAATTTGTAGTGCTTGATGCTCAAACAGTCTTCAGCGTAAACTGCACACAAACACAGATGGTACACTGTGGACAATACTTTTTCGCTGCCAAACAAACACATCTTGGCCAGATCATGTCGTACTGGTTCTCCTCTTTGGCTGATGCGATGTGATCATCATTTCACACGAGAAAAAAAGTCTCAAACTCTGGAGTGTTGACTCCGTTTAGAACCTTAGGAGGAAACAAAGGTTCGGACAATTTATCTGGGAAAGAATCAGATTTGGTTCTCAGATTGCTACACCCTTAACATGATCCCCAAACCTCATATGCCCACAGCAACAGATATAATAAACCAAAACAACTGTCAAAACACTTCAGACGCTCTCATTTCTACTTCTGCAACATTTTTATGCACCCAAAAATTTTCAGGGGACACCGCAATCTAATTTGCACAAGCATTAGCTGAGAGTGCACGACAGAAACTAATCAAGACATCACATTCTTGAATTGGTTAAATAGAGAACTTCCCATATCTGTTTCTACTGTTTACAGATGCCAGACCAATCAAATGAAAAACTATGTTGCCATCAAAGAGACGTGGTTACAACTATGTGTACATCATACCTATCATAAAGTTAACTTGTCTTACAAATTGGGGAGAGAATAGTTCACCCAACAGCCTCCCCAAAGATCTCGCTTCTCATTGTGGCTCCTCAAAGAATTAGAATGTTTGGACAAATACCTATTTAACAGTTTCCTCCCTCTTCAGCTAAAGATGTTCCTTTGCATGAGACTCTGCTGAAGGAAACAAGGACAGGATGAGTATTTTGATTTCAACGCATGAAAAATGTCCAAGCAAATTCTTCAAAAAGTTCAACTACACGGACCTCCCAATAGTACAACTAGGAGGGGAGAATGGGAGCTTTGCATTCACAGTTACTGTACAATCTCTTGACACAACATAGAGATCTCGCCTTCTCTTTATTCATCTTATTGATATCAACAATTGGTGAAAATTGCTCATACTGTACTGAAAAGTCCAGAAGTGACCTGCACAAAATTGGACATATAGTCAATAAAACGACCAAACACTCAGAGAGAGAGAGAGAGAGAGAGAGAGAGAGAGAGAGAGAGAGCAAGCATTAGCTTTACAGAAGCAGAACTTACCAAAAAAAATGCAGTTGTCTATGTTTAGTTAATACACGGGTAAGGAATTGCGTGCTGGAAATAGTCTGTACAGAGACATTATATACATGCCGGCAGCTTCTCGAACTTGAGTTGCTTTATTTAACCATGATAAATCGGCAGGCTGAAAGCTTATTCCCGCAAAACTATGTATACGCATACTAATGATGCTTCATCAATTGTGACTCTGATATGAACCTTCAAAATCACCGATAAATCCTCAATGCACCTCTAGATGACAATACCGGATTCTTCACCACTGACAATCAGGTGAGGAGCAGCACATGCATTAAGAACCATTAATCCGTACATTCTGCGCGTCCATATCTTGGAATTTAAGGGAGGTCACTGAACAGTGGCATGCTTTGTGCAGATTTAACCATTTAGTTCAGGAACTGGATCGAAGGCCGGCCTCCTTTTCATTCCCCTCAAGCTCAACACCAATTGATACAAGAACCAAGCGGCGTGTCCTCATAATTTTGAAATCATTTCCACAATTACTGACTCCTTTTATCGGCTTATAGCCTCCGTTGCGAGGCGTACGAGCCCCAGCAGTCCCTCTACATCTTGGAAGTTAAAATCAAGAGCCTTCTTAATGCCCAAAATACCGTCCTTGGACTGAGCATCCCCTGCTGCAGCTTTAGCAGCACTAAAAGCAACGCGTGATTTTCTAGAAGCCTCCATTGCATTGTTTACATCCTGCGCCTGCAAAGATACATATTTAAAGATCTTAACATTGAAACTGTAAAAGTACGACAGTCCTAAAAGAAGCCAAGGAAGCACGATATATTTAGCTATATAGTTTAGCTTTAGAATTTTCTAAACTACCAAGGTAGGAAATTTGACATGGTATCTCAATCTTATTATGATCACTTACAAAATTGAGTAACCGCGTAAAGTTAGGCCTGGTCCGCACGGAAATAAAGTTATTTCCAAGAACTTGAGGAGAGCTCACACCCTTGGGCTGGGCAACTTTATCTGCTGTTGCTGAGTTGTTCACATTATCTACATCTGATGCAGAAGAAGAAGGAGACTCGCCTGATAAAATGGTCAATAAGCAACAAGTTGCATCAAAGGCATTGCAATATCCAGTTTGTTCTTTATTTAATAAAACAAAATCACAGTTTGAAACCACGATGCATTGAAAATAAAAAGGAAACCGTATAGTGTGATTACTTGGAGAGGTATCATACTACAGAAAGTCAACATGTCAAAGTCTGACCTCAAAAGAAGAAATAAAAAAGAAATAGAACAGATGAATAGTTTTCACGGGCAAGCAATGAAGGCCTCAATGCACAAGGATTTACAAAGTACAAGAGCCATGCAACAATGTAACAGGAAAGCAACTGGAATAACCTAAACCCTACATGAATGAAAAGGAAACCAGGATTTCACACACACATGCGACATACAGAGAAACGAGCATAATCCAACACACAAAAGCAATCCATTATCAGGATGAGGATATCATTCTCAATACCTGGAGGATTTAATTTGAATGCTGGCAGCAACTCAAGCCGATCTCTGCTTGCAGTAGAGTTGGATGAATAAACTACTTTCAAATATGCTACTTCCATGCATTTGTAGGCCAAAGCAGCAGAGGCCATATCTTTAGACTTCTCGTATTCATGGGCACAAAACCTAAGGATTCCACAGAGACTACCTTATCAAAAGATGAGGAAAGAAGCCACAACAATCCAGGTGTACCAAAAAATAGGCCAGAAATGAAATAGGACACCCTAAATGACAGGCTTCTGATTCTAAATGCTACCCTAGTATCAGAACAATCTATGTAGACTTAAAAAACCATGAAGAGATATCAATCCAGATTCATGAAAGTCATGTACTCCTCAGATAAAATGACTGTTCAACTATACATGCCATTGCCCCATGTGATAAATGCTTTTGGATCTGAATTGCTTTAAACCAGAAAGGAAAAGCTACAGAAAACCAAATTTGGATAAATAAAGGATAGTACAAGGATGTAGTGTAGCGATCAGAGCTTCTAAAACTGACAAAGAAGTACATGACTCATGCTAGCCTGTCAAGTAGGGTAACCAGTGAAGCCTTATACTGAACCCCAACAGGTTGCTTAAGAGGTAAGCATGTTTTCTTTTCTTCTTAAGGCCTAGGTCTCTACCACCACAAGTTGCCACTGTTCTTGATGCCACCCAAGTAGAGTGGGCAGGTGCGATTCAATTAAACCGGTGTGCATGGCACTGGAGATGCACAACGGATATTAGCTGAGTGCTCAAAGAGCACTGAACACCCCATTGTTAGATACACAAATTGAAACCTCATTACAACAAATTAAACCACTGTCATTAAGTTATGTGCCATTTATTCAGGTACAAGTATCCATAAGAAAGGATAAAAAAAGAACCAGTGGGTGAGTCACATTAAAAATTGTGGAGAAGCTCCAATATTCATATCATTTCTCAACATGGAAAAGAAGCACATGTGCTGCAGAGACTAGGGGTCAACACTAGATACTTACTCGCACAATTTTGCCGTGCTGCCATATATTTGTACTGACTGAATCATCTCTCCATGCTTCGTACTGTCACTCTTGCTAGATTCCAACAAAGAGGCTCCATGAAGAAACTTGAGGGCTGCCTGGAAGTAAAGACCAGTTCTTTCTCCAGAGGACTGCAAAAATGGAAATGTAGCTAAGACACAAGAAGATAGGGGTAGAAAGTACCTTTTTAAGAGAAGAAATACAAGTACCTTAAGACGATCAGCAAGATGTTTCAAATCTTTCGCCTCTTTCAAAGCCTTTGTTGCAGCCTGGCTTGACAAATCTCTTCTAACTGGACTCTGGGCATCGATATGACGAACACCATTTCCATTGGAGGTGAGATGTCTCGAACTCTGATGCTGACTACCATTTTCCTTTTCTGCCTCGGCCATTTTCATCTGCGCCTTTGATGCACCATTACCTTCAACGGCATCTGCTTTTGCAACTCCTGCTTCACTTCCCTTAAGTGGCACTGGAACAACTGCAGAGCGAGATCTCATCATCTCAGTATGACCTGCTCCTGATGGTGGTACTGGAAGTGGCTTCCCTCTTTGAGATAAATTCCCTGCTTGATCAGCTTTATAAGAAGCTAACCCTGTGGATGATTTTTCTTCATCCCAATTTGAATTAAAAGGCACATCCTGCGTATGCCCACCATCTAATTTCACATCTCGATCCTCGTGCCCTCTCAGATTCGATTGACTTCCTCTTGAGGTCCTCCCTCTTGATTCCCCAGCAGAATCCTTCTTCTTGAGCTCTTTATGCTCATTCTCCTGAAGATCTATATTGTAATCCCTGAACTTTGCTTCCTTTAAAGACACAGTCTCTTGGCAGTCATCAAAAGAGATCTCAGTAGTCTCAGCATCACTTCGGTATTTGGAACTCCTGTTTTTGTCCTTGACTCGTGAAGAAGAGTCCCTTCCAGATTTCTGAGAATGAGACCCACTAGCAGGATACAAGTCCCCATTCTCTCTTTCATTACTCCACTGGTCCGAATCCTGTTTTTTACTTGGACAAGGAGTATCTTGACCATAATCAACTCCATCTTTAATAATTTTGTGATCAGTGACTTCTGGAGAATGCAGAGACTGTATTTTTGCATTGCCAGCAGAAAAATCATTTCGAATGGCATAGCTTTCACCTCCATTTTCAACATCAGAGCACCTTCTCGGGCTACCGATGGGAGGCAAAGTGGCATCTTGAGAATCATACTTCTCCTTGAGCTTTCTAGTCACTGACGCAAGCTTGCCAGACTTTGAACTTCTTATAGGAGATGAAGAAACTGATTCTGCTGGAGAGCCTCTTGTATCCTGGAGACTTCCTCTGCTTTTACGGGAACCACAAACCTTAGAAGAGCTTGACGTGGCCGCAACAGGTTGTGAAGATTTTGCTTTCTTTTTCACAGGATCTGTGTCCACACCAGCCAGATCATGTTCAAGTTGCTGGTTCCTCATCTTACTGCCCCCTTTGTCAGATCTACTGCTTCCCTTGCATAGATCAGATTCTTTTCCTTCAGATCTGGAAGTTTTAGGCTTTTTTTCTTTCTCGCGATCGATCTCTCTGACTGGAAGCTCACTGTCATGATGTTCATAATCCATAATTGGTAGAGATTCTGAACCAGTCTGGGAACCATGAATATCCCTTTTCTTCCTCTTTTTCGTAGCTAGCTCTCCTTCATTGGAATTCCCAGCTTCAAAGCACCCACTGTCTGAAGAATCCCGCACTTTGTCTCTTGGATACTTGGCAGAGACTTGAATTATCTCAGCTGTGTTGGGTTTTGAAACCTTCAAAGAAGTTTGATCATCCAATTGCTGACTTTTCCCCACAAAAGCAGGAGATCCACTACTAGAGCTATGACCAACCTTCCTTGTAAAACTACCATCGTCTGACCTCCAATCTTCTTTAGCGTGCGACACTCCTTCATTCTTGACTTTCTTTGAAGAATTAAGGTAATCTGGTTCGGTTTCCCTCTTTCTACTGGACTTCAGATGATTCCCATCACCTGGTCATTATACTACTGCATAAGTAACGAAGTTTTGACAAGAAATATTTCCAAAAAAAATTCCAATTTCTAAATTAAAATAAATACCTCCACTGGAATGTCGCTCGCGTATTTTATGCTTACGGCTGTGTTTTTCTGCTTCTAGGTCATGACTCTTACTTATCCGCCAAACATCAGCTTCATTCTCCAGAGAAGTCCTGTTTACATCATTTAAGCTTCTACTATTAGATGATGCGATGAGCTTTTTCTCGGAGTCTGAAGTTTGAGCAGGACCATCTTTGTTCCTTGGAAAAGATGGCTTTTTTATTCCATGTTTCTTCTTTTCAACAGAAGATAGAGATAGAGCTTGAGGACTACAACTTCCCAAATTCTTATTCGAATCCTGGTAGGAAGCAAAGTTTATGCCCATCACGTCAGAAGTAATAGGTGCGCTTTTTTGAGCATCAGGAACGGGAACATGGAACATTTCATATATTGCTCTTGTAGTTTCCTCCTCGCTTACAACACATCGGTTCATGCCAGACCTAAACAAGTAGAACAAGCAAATTAGTTGTGGAAGTAGATCGAGATTGTATAGATAGTGGAAGCAATGTACACCTTAACTACCTCATTTGTTACAAATTAAGCAAAAGTCATTAGCTCACATATCAAGCACCTTCTTTCTCTATAACTACTGGTTTAAATCACAAGAAGAAAGATTCCACTTGAAAGGGACTTACAGCCAATCAAGCATGCTACAGACCCACTTCTCAGGCAGGTCATGGGGATTTTTTCCGAATGGTAGAAGCCGCCATTTTCGGCACTTATCGCAACCCACCCAGTTTTCTTCTATTAGGACAGGAGCTGCAGTAGAAGGAGCCGCATCAACAGTAGGGTTATTTCCGGAGCCAGAACCTAAATGTGAAGTTGCATTATAATCTGCTTCTGATGTGGACACCATGTCAGTTCTCTTGCTACTTAATCTCTCCTTTTTCACGTCATATTCTGATATGCCTTTCTCAACCGCACTAGAGTCCTTCCGCCTTTCTTCAGGGGCCATTTTCATCAGCTGATTTTGACTTTCTTCTTCTCCATCTATATCCCCAAAGAATTCTTTGTATCTCTCCCTTCCTTTTCCGGGTTTTTTGGCCAATTTAGCGTCCTCACGACCACTTCTAGACTTAGAATTGCCTGTACTATGGCTCTTGTTATTCTTGGTCACAGAAGTTGAACCACTCAAGCTCTCTTTGGATGCATCAGCAACTGCTGCACCTTCATTTTTAACTTTCACTTTTTCTTTCCCGTTAGAAGGTGGATTATCCTTTCCAGAAGGCAAAGTCAACCCATCTTTGTCCATATAAGAACCTTTTTTAGCAGTAATTTCGCAAAGACTATCCGTCTGAACCACTCGTTCAGCTGAACCATTCTTTCCCCTCAGAATACATAAGTCAGGTTTTGATTCCCGAAAATTTTCTTCTGCACTAATGCCTTCTTTCCTGGAGTGAACGGCAATATCATCAATGGCAGTTCCTCTTTTATCTCTAGCAAGTTTCCCAGCACCACGGGCCTTGGGCTTGTCAAGCGAACCCAGTTCTTGACTAAACGGTGGTTGTGTAGTTTCTTCTGCAGCTTGATCGGAAAGGATATTGTCCAATGCTACAGTGCTCGCTTCATGGGCACCATAAGATTCCCCCCATGTGCTTTTCACCATGTCACCCGGAGTGCCTATGTTAGATAAGATTGGAAGCTTCAAAGTCTTCGAAACTAGTTCCTCACATACCAGCATGTCAATGTCCAATTCCTTCTTGGGTGCAGTATCAGCACTGCTCCGAGAGTCCTTACCGCCTTTTTCCTCCTTCAAATCCTCAGTATTTCTTAATGACTCCAATTTCTTTTTGCCGATCACCTTTTTCCGATCCTTCAGACAATTAATTCCATTTGCCCGCATGCCAGAGCTTGCTGGATCAGCACTCAAAGCAGGCCCAGTCCTATGATCAGATAGATGCTTCTCTTTCATGGTTAACAAAACAAGATCGTCCGCAAGTGGCGACAGCAGCAAATTTCCATGCACCGGATACGAAGTCATCATCTGATCCACAGAATCAATAAAGATATTACAACTAACCTCAAAACGGCAATTGAAAAACTGATACATTCAAAAAATGGTCAAAAATTATTCACCCTTAAAATACTGGTGGGAGACTCAAATGACGTGTCATGGGGTCCATGACTCATTCCCTCACTTTCAGAGGGGCTGTCCTCCAATGATGAGGTCGGTGAGACATCAAGGCCAAGACCACTGTAAATCGCAGCCCTTTTCTGTGTCGACAAGTTATCCGCACCCACTTTGATTCTAACCTTCAGCGTTTTCTGATCAGACAAATTGGCAGACTTACTGTCAGTATACTCTACAGCCCGGAGAGGTGGCATGCACCCATCTTGCTTAACTGAATTTTCCACATTCGTTTTCTTCCTTGAAGGGTGTGATATGGTAACAGCAGAAACAGATCGATCTCTATTCGTATGGGTGGTGGGCAAGGAAACTGAAGAATCATGGTGCAAATCCTGAGTAAAAGCAGAATTCTTTAAGTGCTAAATCCAGTAATAAAAGTAAAACCAAATTGAAATACAGGTATCCCTCTAAGGAAAACACTCTCTACCTCCACATTCGATGCACGCGTCGACCGTGGTGTATCATAATTCTGACCTCTTGGTGGAGATTTTGAATGGGACCAAACAGGAGACCGCCGGTCAGCTGGTAAAAACGAACCGTAACCACCAAATTTTGCCCCTGTGGAATACATATTCCCAAAAACTTAAGGTTATACACATCCGTCATTCTTGGATCACAAATAAGTATCATCTTTAACTGTTTCAGTTACCCAAGTTCTCAGCTGATACCCCTCCTTCAAAATCTTTACGGAAGTGTCCGAGCACATGCTGAAGTTTCTCCCCCTTCAAAATTAAAACAGTAACATCAACCACTTCCCTATAATTACACGACAAAGGGGACAAGGATGTATAGGAATCCAATCCTGAAGACACTTTAGACAAATGACCAAAAGAATGAAGGAGACAAAGAGTATCGGTTTATACAGAGATATAGCCGCTACTGTACCAAAAAGTTACGCGACGGAGAAAAAGATTACTTCCTAATCCCATCCACCATTCTTCCTCTCTTCATACTAAGAATTTTTCTAAGATCGGAAACTTAGACAAAAGTAAAAGCCCCTTTCCAGCTAAATACCTTTCCCTACATATATAAAACTGCTGGGAATGAAAAACGGAACGCCGACAACAGCTAGACAATATACCGTGCCAACATTTCTTTCTCCTTCTCAAATTAGATGATTGCATCAACCTGTTCTTCTTTACCTCCAGATTCTCGAGACTTAGCCTCGGAAAAAAAAGCTTAGAACAGGTTCTGTGAACAAGAAACTCAGTCCAATAGCATCCAAACCCCGTAGCAAAAACAAATCTCCGTGCCGTACAGAGACATTTAAACATATCCACCTATATAGTGTCTACAGCCCACGAATGGGAGGTAAAGTGGACCAAATATGGCAAGTCAAATCCTTAAAATCCAGCACTTGTTAAGCACAAGAAACACACGAGAACAAACGAACTAGTTCAGAGAACGTAACCAAAACAAACACGAAGACCTTACAATGTAAGATAGAGAAACATCAGGGTCCGTGCCGTCATCAAAACCACGATCGTTGTCATGGTAAGAATAAGCCTCGCCCTCCTCGAGCTCTGTATCCTCCATCTTTCTGTCTCCTCCAAAAGATCCTAGAGCTAAACTTTTTCTTGCATCTCTGTTTCTCGCGGTAATCATCAGGGGGCCCAAAAAAAAAAAAAGCAAAAAAGAAAAAAAAAACTAAAAAAAAAAGAAAAATCAAACAAGCTGCTCAAGAACCGAAAGCTCTCTCTCCTGAACAACAAGAACCCTTCGACCCATTATCCAGCTCGGAGAAACAAGCGAAACCCAGCTGGGGATTTCTCGGCCTCGATCAATTACCCGAACCCGATCGAGAACGCCAACCCGCCCACCCCCTCCCTCCCCTCCCCCCAAAAGAGAGAGAGAGAGAGAGAAGAAAGGAAAAAACTCCAATTGCTTCAATCAGAAGGACCCCCACAACCGAAACTCCGCACTAATTGACCAATTGACCGCTCGAGAAGATGCTCCCCAGCTCCACTGTGCAGATCGCTATGGCGTGATCTACAATCCTCAACGCGGGTAAGAATCGAATTAGCTCACACAGAGAGAGAGACAAAGAGAGAGAGAGAGAGAGAGAGACAGACAGACAGAAAGAAGAGAGAGAGAGAGAGAAAGGATCTCTCTGGTTTTGGTGTACAGAGCAGCCGCGTTATTTTTTTCCCTTTCGTTTTTAACTTATATTTTCCTTTCTCGTTTCTGTTCTCTCTCTCTCCCTCTCTCTCCCTCTCTCCATCCGTGCCCGCAGCGAATTCATTACATTAACGCATGATCTCTCTCTCTCTCTCTGTCTCTCTCTGGAAAGTCGCGTGGAATTGGCAACCGACCGATCCGGACCGATCCGGACCGACCGGACGGGGGCTTTTAGAGCCGGGTGGAGGTGGGGGCGGGGGAAGGGGATGTTATATCCATGTGTTTCCAACGAACGACTTGTCTGAACATACTTGGGCTACGCTTCCTCCTCGACTCGCGCTACCCCAGCGCGTGCGTCGACCCCCGCAAGCCGCCGTCGCTTCCTTCCGCCCTCTCTCTCTCTCTCTCTCTCTCTCTCTCTCGTTTCCAACGCGTTTCGAATTCGGAAAGCGACTGTACCGGAAACGGCAAGTCGCTGCACGTTCTTTTCGTGCTTGAAAGGAGCAGAGCGTCCCCGTCCTGAACACGTGTGGGATACAGCAGTTGGGGGGCCGTCCAACCGGACCGGATCTATTCGGGAATCAGATTGGACCGCTCTGAAAACCGGCCCCAATTTCGACTGAAGAACCGTTTGGGAACCGGACCAAATTTAGGAACGGTTTCATAATTTTTCCCTTTTTCTGTCTTTTTGGAGCTCACTTGGACACTTTGCAACTCTCTCTCTCTCGACTCGCCCTCCTCACTCGCTCGCTCGCGGGCTCGTCCTCACTCCTTCCCGACTCGCTCGCTCGCCCTCGTTCATCTTTTACTTTGAGCCGTTTTGTATCTCGTATTATTTTGTTGTATAACCAACAAAAAAAATATCGGTTCTTGAATAGACAGTGAAACCTAACCAGAAAAATAGGTAGGTTCCAAAATTGGTTATAGGACAAACAAGGCAGGTTTCGGGTTTTAAAAATTTAGAAACAGTTTTAACAAGGTAAATTCAAGATTCCAACCTATCCATTCTAAAACTAATCGCTCCTGACAATAATGTCATGAGATGGTGTAATCGCTCATTTAATGTAAATTATTAAGCTTTCATCAAACGAGCTGATTTTCGCGCATATGTTTCGGGCGCGCAATTACTTTTTTAAGTTGGTCATGTGTGTTTTTTATTGGGAAATCTACTTATTACGATAACGAAAACTCTCATGTATATGTAAGGGGAGAAAGAATGAGCAGAGACCAAAAAGGAAGTTACCAAAGAAGAGTTAGACTACTAAAGGGAGATTAACCATTTGCACAATCATTACAGTATCTCCAATTTAAATGCCACGGCTTGCGATGTAGGTTTAGGGGTAAGATTGGCCTTTTTGTGAAAGTGAGATGAAAGTTAATCATGACTTAGGTACATAGATCAACGGATACAATTTTGAGTTTTGTAAATTCACTTAGTGGGTATATACAAATCTTGAGATTTGAATTTTAAAGTTGCCAACGCGTGTTTGGCTATTATGTCTATTACACGTTATGCTTTTTGCTTGTAATAGCCGTTATGATATTGTCAAATCATTAATTATTGTTGTTCCGTCCACTAATAACATCAATTTATAATCGCCATCATATCGATATACCACGATTTATAGCGTGAAATAATTTAATTACATATTATACTAATATATCTGTAATCTATTACACTTTTGTATGTAATTATTTATTCACGACATCATAATTAATAGATTTCTTAGATATCATCATCGAATCATTTGGTTTTTTTTTTTTGTTTTTTTAAATGATTGAGGGCACTTTAGATCAATCCATATTTCTTCTCCACACTGTCCAATCGCACAATACCATATAATTATTTCTTTTGTTTGACCAAACTAGCATAATGGCTAGGACGGTTCTATCCCCTCACAATTGCAATGGTCAATCACGGCTTTATAACTAAAAGGGTTAATACCATGAAAAATCCTAAACTGGTATATTTGTGACAAATTTACCTCCAAACTAATTTTTTAATCACAAAAAATTCCAAACCGGTACATTTGTTACAAATATACCCTCCGTTAAATTGGATTAATATTACGAAAAATCACAAATTGATAAATCCGCGACAAATATGTAAAACCCTAAACTGGTACATCCATCAATTGCCACGTGTCATTTAACTCAGCAATTTAATGATAAAATTTAACGAAAACAACGGAGCATATATATGTCACAAGTGCAGCGGTTTTGGGTTTTTTGTGGTCACAATAATTAATTTGAAATAAATTTGTTATAAGTGCACTAATTTAAGATTTTTTGTGGTGTTAACCTCAACTAAAATTGCAGTTAGAAAGTCAAGTAAAACTCTATGTTGGATGATGGAATCTCATTTATTAGCTAGATATTGCAATATTTGGGTCTCCAATGGCAATAATTGCAATATTTGACATGCTGCTTTTTCTCTTTTTGGACATGTTGCTTTCTTAAAAAAAGTATTTTTTGCATTGATCACGCGCCTGATATAAATTATTTCTCATTTCGGCTTAATTCCCCTAAAACTCCCTAAATTCAAGTCCAATTCTAAATCTACTCCGAACTTAACCTTTTCTTTTGTCCGAAAAAATAACCAACTTTCGCTCTGGTTTCAAATTTGTCCCCGCGTCTAAAAAACCAACGTCGGTCTCTTCAAAATTATCAAATATCGTGAGGTTGTCGTTGTTCCATATGAAGGTGAGGGCGTTGGTGAATATGCGGATTTTGATAATTAATCTCCAAGGGGTCATGATGTTGAACATGTCAAGGGAACTAGCCTCAATTTCTGGATGCGGGAGCGCAGATTTAGGACTATAGTAAAAGGTCATAACCTTATTTTAAATAAAATAAAAAGGATCGAGGTGGAATTGTGATTTGATTTAAAGTGGGGAAATTTTTTTAGGAGATTATTCCCTTTTTCATTTTACATTTGCGCTCAAGTGATGAAACCGATGGCCTTAAGATTAGCTTTGCTGTGCCACGTGTCGCCGTCACGAGGCGCCGTCTGCACTCGAAAGCTTGGGAGCCACGAACCGTCAGCGCGTGTCGCTAGTCGCCTGAGCAGGCGCGTCGGTTTGACGTGTTCTCCAAAGTCTGCGAAGAACTCCACATGCCTTTGAAGTCCACATATGGTTTTATCTTCTTTTGTTTTCATCTTTTTTTGTTTTTATCTTGACTATTTTTGAATTTGCAAATCAAACACGATCCTTATGTTATAAGTTTATAACCATTTGATTTTGGAGGAAAAATAAATTTGTTAAGTATAGAAATGATTCGATTGAGAAAAAAAAATCCCTTTATTTTCTAGCTATGATTTTGGGCCTAATTCTTAAAAAAAAAAAACACAAACTTTACTTTGAGTAACAATTCTGGCCCGAACTTCTCTTTTATCTGATAAAAAATCATCAGCTTTCACTTAAATCTCAACTATGACCCGATCAATTTAAAAATTTCACATCACGGAGGTCAGATTTGGGATTCGAGTAAAAATTTGTACTTTTTATTTAGATAAAAAAAAGTTCGGCCCATAATTATCATTCAGGGTAAAGTTGATGCTTTAAGAATATGTTAGTGGATATAGAGATATGTTAGCCTAATGACTGTTTGGTGGCTTTACGATAGCATAAACTAAGAATTAAAAAAAAAAATCAAACATGCAATAAAAAAAGACATGGGTCGTATTCATAGCCGTGGAACATGCGGTAAAGGGGTAAAAGATGGTGCGAGCATTAGGAATTTTTACATTCGTCGTGCTAGCCGGATGTCTTTCTAGTGAAGACCGCATCAGTAAAAAGTGAAAATCTCGATCCTTTAGAAGAAATTCGTGAAAATCCACGATTTTTAGATTCGGCGCTTATGTTATGTCGAAAATAAGAATAAAAATTTTAGAGAAGATCAATAGAAGGATTAACGACCGTATTAGCTCATAAAGTTTTCGCATTCGCTGGAATTCAAATCCGATCCCCTTTGTCTACAGGCGGCGTTCCACGGTCGCACAATACCGAACGCACCTCTTCTTCGCCTTTATCCGTCGTGCATGTACATGCAACTTAAATTTATCATCCATAATAATTGACATTGGAATTTTCATTGATTAGTCTTTCTTTGTCCGTTTTGTTGACTTTTCTATGTATTCGCCAATGCTGTTTTCTTTTCATGTGTAAAGTAGGGGTGTCAATTTGAAAAAAAAAAGAAGAGAATAAAAAAAGTAAGAATATCAATGATTCGGTTCGGGTTTTCATGATATAGGGACCGAACCGAAAACCTTATTGTAAATCCAAATTGAAAAGGGCACTTTTTCTTAAAAACCCATCATTACTTCAATGTAAATTATATGAAGCAGGCTGATTAATGCGATATTAGAATCTCTAAGACATGAAGTTGATGACCATGTTTCAGTCCTTTGTTTAAGAGGCACTATAAAAATGCCACAAAATTAGAATTTCTCCAATGCAACTTCTCATTAAATTTCGACTTTTTTTTTTCTCTATTTTCTTCGGAATTTTCGCTCTCTCAATTTTTCGTCCATTTCCTAGATTAAAGTAGAGTAAAATTGATTTAGGTTCTTCTAGAATTGAATAATTTTGAGATTTTTTTTCTCATTTTTGAAATAGGGTGGGAAGGGATTGTTAGCATTATATTATCTTAATTTATTTTTCTTGATTATTGATTGTTAGCATAAGTAATCCTTTGGATATTTGCAGTAGAGCTATACCCCCGTCACAGACTTTCGAAAGGCCGGACATCGATTAGTGCAATTGCGACTCTAAGGTCCGAATTGGCAAACCCGTCACCGCAACATGCATCATCGTATCATAAGTCTCTCCTTGTAAGATATGTTGACGATTATTTAGGCACTTGTTATTATTACTCATCAAACTATGGAAACTAAATACAAAAACGAATATTCTAATTTTTTTAAACAAAAATATTTCGCTTTCGAGACACTTAATTAATTCTGTTTTTGTTTCCAAAAAAAAATAATTCTTTTTAAGACCATCCAAGTACTTTTTTTTTTCCGTGAAAAGTTCTATTTTCCACGAATCAAACCAAACAATAAATCTATCTCAAACAAATTCAATAAATATAAATTCATCGCCTCGTAACCATCGATAAAACAAATGATACATTCGACGAAACAAAGATCTGCGAACTCGGCGATTATCGAGAAAAGGGAAAAGTTAAAATAAAATAGAAACTATACTTACTTTGTAATTTACCCCGATACTCTTATTAATATTTGTTTCGACGCGCCTTATGTGAAAAAAAAGAAAAGAAATTCAAGAGCATATTGTTATTACACTAGAAAATATTCGCGTGCAAGCTTTTTACCTCTCGAAAGTAGGCTGTGGATCGTGACTCCAGTACAATCACAGAACATCCCAATGATTAATCCGATGGACGGACGATCCTTTCGTAATATGGGTCGACGACAATATGATGTCATTAATTAGCAAATTAATTTTCACAGTAATGACAAAAAATAATACAGTAAATTGACGGTGATTGACTTGACTCCTCTTGCTCCTTCAGAAATTGAAAGATCCAATTCACCGTAAAGAAAAAAAAAGCAGGCCATTTCGACGTCATCGCGTTCCTTTCAGGCCCGTCTGGCAGTCACCGAACTGAAAATGAACGTGTTCTTGCTTCGCTTGTGTTTCAAGCAAGTTTATAACATCATCAACATGTGTGCATATATGTACTAAACTATACATGGAATTTTTGTAAAAGAAAAATTCGGCGAAAGGTCTGTAAAATTGATTAAGATGGTCATAACGGGGAGTGTAAATATCCCGGGTGATGTATCGCGTGAGAATGGCACACGGACGTCGATAAAAACGAGAATTTATAGATTCAAAGTAAAGGAATCGCGAGATATATATCACATGAGCGATATGATTGGTCAGTTATGCCATATCGACTGTTTGTCGCTTCATGGGCTCCTGCTTAGAGGTAATTGACGCAAGAATAATGCAGATTCTGATAGGCTTATGGTCTAAAATCAAGAAAGCTCCTGACAAGGAAATAAGAAGCGAATATTCTTGGGAGTTATGCCACTCGGCCATATTCTAATTTCTGTATTCCTTGGAACCGTCCATTGACTGCCTTGGAAACCTGTTTTAGCTCCCCAGCTTTCAGGGACTTGGAAACGCTTCCTTGGAATTACAGCAGCGATGCTGTAAAAACCATAGCAGGAGAAGAAAGTAATGGAAAGAGAAGCGGGGCGGAAAAGGATTACGGGATCCCGGAGTTGTCGAAACCATAAAGATAAGAATCAGTTCTCTACCGGGCAATGTCGCGCCAAGCAACTTTTAATTGATTTTATGGCGCTTTGCACCTCGTAAAACAGTCGCATTTTCTACCGTGCAACGTCGCACCGTTAGAAAAAATCTCGAATTTATGAAATGTTTGGAACCTCACCAACATAAAACAACTTGCGGACTTTACCAGCCGGTCAACTGATAAAACTCTAGAGAGTAGAAAGAACAGTTGAAAAGGTCACCAAACCCGGGAGAAAAAAAGAGCTGTTAGTCAAAAAAGCTCAAGAACTGATCAAGAAGCTCCGGAGTAGCTGAACAAACAACTGACCCTACTGTAACAAGCAACATCGGGGTCTGCAAAGGAGACTCCTCTGTTGAATTCGGCTGCACAAGACAATCGAAAAGACGAAACAATCTCGCGGCCAAGAAGAAGACATTGAGAGTTGGAGCAAGTGAAACAATACGTAAAACCTCAGATCACAAGCTCGGCCTTTCAAAATGGCCTTTGCCATTACTGTGATACCACTTCCAGGGTACATGAACAGAGTCATCTCAATAGACCACCAGCTAACGTGACTCGAGTATGTTAGGTTTTTACTATGAATGCTAGCAACCCACATAGCCCCATGAACCTTCCACACCTCGTGTTTCTGCACTCCGCTCCATGAGGATGCGCAATTCGGAGGGATGATCTAGGGTGGCGTCTTCGCTTGAACAGAGCTTGCGCTGGTGATCGAGGTGCTGCAAGTGATGTCGTCTTCAGCAGCTTTTGGGACCGTCAAGTCAGAAGTAAGAGGAGCGCTTTTTTGAGCATCAGGATGATGAAGCATTTGGATATCGCTTTTGTAGTTTCCTCCTTGCTTACACTACATCAGTTCATGCCATATGCCTAAACAAGTAGATCGAGCAAATGAGTTGGAAGTCGACTCAAATTGGACAGATCATGGGAGCGACGTACACCTTCATTACCTCATTTATCGCGAATTAAGCAAATGTCATTACCTCGAATCAACATGTCAAGCACCTTCTTCTTCCATAACTACTGGTTTAAATCACAAGAGGAAAGATGCCACGTCCAGCATGCTACAGACCCACTTCTCAGGCAGGTTATCGGGATTTCTACCAGATGGTAGAAGCCTAAATCTGCTCCCTGGCGCAGACGCCATGTTGGTTCTCCTGCTACTCAAGAACCTAAAGCTCTCTCTCCACAGCACCAAGAACCACCCTCCGGAATTTCTCAGCTTCCATCAATATCGAACCTGATCAAGAAACGGCCCAAGAAAAAAAGGAAATCCAATTTGCTTCAATCACAAGAAACCTCCAACTGAAGTTCCACACTAATCGACCAACCGACCCGTTCGAAAAGATGCTCTTCAGCTCCACTGGGCAGCTCGCCATGGCGTGATCCACACAATTCTCCATGTAGGTAAGAACAGAATGAGCGCTGAGAGAGATTTGATGGTGACTGACTTGACTCCTGTAACTCCTGAAAAACGGACTTTGCTTTTGCTTTTGCTTTCGGGCTCGTCTAGCTGCTCACCAAACTGCAAAACAGACTTTGCTTTTGCTTACATTTCAAGCAAGCATTCGATATGTGTTTTATATATGTTAAGCTATACCAGAATCGTTAGATCTGAAAAGTCCCGCAACATTTAACGATCGAAAAACAATCCATCACATATATATACACACCACAATTACCATTTCTCTCGTATTTGCTCCCATCGCGTGCCATGATTGGTTACGATATAGTCAATCCTGAGGTAAAACCTACTTTTATAAGAAGAAAAATTGCCCGAAAGTTCATGTAAGGGATGGATACATTTATAAGAAGTGATATCATGGTATAAGATGCATTATATTATAGGGCGCGACAGCGATATGCGCATATCAATAAAGACTAGATTTCAAGATTAAAAAAAAACAGGTGATTGAGACATACCTCACGTGAACGACGTGATTAAACCAATCACATCGCATCGACCATACAAACAAATGCATCAAAACACTATATACTGTTCCGTGGCTCCCGCTTAGAATTAAACATGGGAAAAATTAGTAGATATTGATCCAAGAAAAAGGAAGGTTTTGATTAGTTGATACTTAGCAGACTGCTTTGGTCAAAATTCAAGAAAGCTCATTACAGGGAATTATGAAGCGAATATTCTTAGGAGTTGTGCCACTCGGTTATATTCCATTGTTTTTGTAATTCCATGGTTCAAAGCTTAATGGATGAATTGAATAACTATTAAAAAATGTTGTCATGAAACTCTCCACCCCCGGGCCAGAACTTCTTGTTTTCGAAGGCGAATCTATCAAAGATCAGGCTCTACCCGACTTTTTCTGGTTCACCTCAACATTTCCCACTTGTCCGGTTGAATACTTTCCATTTTGGATTATTCTCAAAGGAGAAATATGGCCATCCTTACCCCCTCACGTCAATCCCATGATTGAAAAGGGGAAATTTTCCAAAAAGTCCTAAACTTATTGTATTGTCAGCTATTAAATCATAATCTTGTCAATTGTACCAATTTAGTTCTTCCGATTAATTTTGGTAAAAAATTGCTGATGTGGAGATTAATTTTCCTACGTGACATGATTGACGCTAACGTGGACAATTTTTACAAATTTTAAAAGATGTTTCGAATTTTTTTATTAATTTTCTTTTTTTTTAACTGCCACTAGCCTTGTCATAAAGCCCTTGGCCAAGTGCTCATGGCTGTGGGCAAGGGTCACAACCCTCGTCGCCCACAACGAGGGTGCGCGAGGGTAGTGACGCCATTGCCGTGGCCCACGACACCCTTGTTGTGGCCCACAAGGGCTTGGGCTTGGGCGAGGTCTCCACAGCCCTTGGTGCAACCGCCACTCCAATGGAAAAAAAAGAAGAAAAAAATTAATAAAAAATTCAGAAATTTTTTAAAAATTTTACAAAAACTATTTACGTCGACGACTCCGGCTATCCTATATAGGACGGTCGGACATTTACATGAGCAATTTCCAATCAAAATAGGCCTGAATGACAAAATTACAAATCATCAAAAAGTTGACTAAATTTGTATAACTAAAAGGTTTAAAACTTAATTGACCATTGTACAATAAATATAGGACTCTTTGGATAATTATTTCACCCATCGCCCTGTAAAACCTCTTTAGCTCTTCAGCTTTCAGGGGACTCGGTAGTCGTGATAATATGATAAGATGTCTAACTTAAAAACTTAAATCTATAAAAAAGACCCCATATGTATTAATGTATGTAAATCCTGTAAAGAAACGATCAAGAATACTTTAGAGAAAAATTAATGGGAAGGGGAAGCTCAGTGGAGAAGATAAATATTCTACACGCCAATCACGGGCTGTGTCCCCATTTCTGTCCAATCACCTTTACGGGATCTTCGAGACGTCGAAACCGTAAAGGCAAGAATCAGTCCTCGACCGTGAAATGTCGTGCCATGCAACTTGTTCGATTTTCAAGCGCTTTGCGCTTCGCAAAACAATCACATTCTCTACCGTACATTGTTGTACCATTAGAAAAAAAATCTACGGACTATTTTGAACCTCGCCAACATAAAACAACTTGCGACTTTTTACCAGTCGGTCAAATGACAAACTCCAGAAGGAAAAGTTGTAAAGGTCACCAAACCCGGGAGATCATAAAGCCTCTGTTCAAAAACTCAAAAGAAACTGATCAAGAAGGTCCGTATTAGCTGACCAAACAATTGGAACTGTAAACAAGCAACCAGGCCCGGCAAAGAAACTAGGGGTGTAAACGGTTCAGTTCGGTTCGGTTTTCTTGAAAAACCGAACCGAACCGAACCGTTAAGGGTGCCTCCTTGAACCGAACCAAATAGGAACCGAACCGAATTGGAACCGAACCGATAAACCGATTTGGTTCGGTTTGGTTCGGTTTGGTTTCGGTTTGGTTTTCGGTTTCTTCTTCTTTTATCTTTTTTCACACTTCTTCCCTTCCCCCTCCTCGTCTTCTTCTTCCGCTCTCTCTCTTCCCTTCTCTGCGAGACTGCTTCTTACTTCCGGCGACTGAACCCGCTCTAACAACAAAAAAGCGAGGACCGGGACTCGGACGACCCGTTTGGTTAATGGCGGCCACCTGGCCCAACTTCAAGAAGCCAGAGAGAAAAATGTGTTTCGTCACTTTTTGGGAGATGATAATGATGTGAGGGAAGAGAGAGAATAAAGCAGGAAAGAGAGAGAGAGAGAGAGAGAGAGGAGAGCAGTGAGAGTGCGAAGACAGAGGAAGAGAGAGAATAAAGTAAAAAAGTGAGAGAGAGAAAAGTCAGTGAGAGGTGAGCAGTAATGAACAGTGAGATTGAGGAGAGAGAGCGCGCGCGAAGGGAAGAAAACCACATTAAAAAAACCGAAATCCGAACCGATTTGAACCGAACCGAACCAAACCATCATGTTAACCAAATTCATTTATTTATTATCCGAACCGAAACCGAACTGAACCGAAAATGCATGAATTTTCGGTTCGGTTCGGTTCGGTTCGTATCTCGGTTCGGTTTTTCGGTTCGGTTCTGACACCCCTAAAAGAAACTACTCATTCGAATTTGTCTATATAGAATTGGAAAAGGGGAAACAATCTTTCGGCCAAGAAGAGGACAATGAGAATTGGGGCACGCAAACAATTCATATCACAAAGCTAAGCCTTCAAAATGGCCTTTTTATTACTGTGACTACCACTACCAGGGTAGACGAACAAGTCTCATCTCTGTACACCACCAGCTAAAATTATTTACCGATCAGAGCTAAACATGGCTCGAGTATGTTATTTACTATAAGTACTCGCAAAGCGCGTAGCTGCATAACCTTTCGCACCTCGTGTTTCTGCACTCCGCTCCATTAGGATGCAGTTCGGACGGATGATTTAGGCGACAGCTTTGCTTGCAGAGAGCTTGCGCTGGTGATCGCGGGGCTGCAAGTGAAGTTCTGGCACACAAGCGCCACCACTCTGTCTTCAGCAGCATTGTTTTTGGCCATCAGCGCGATGTTACTGTTATTCTCTTCCCAGAACTGTACCTCCTCTGAGTTGGTGGGATCGATGTGAATCACCTGTCATCAATTGCATTTAGGAGCTATAAACACAAGATGACACTAAAAGAAAAGCCCTTTCCATTCTGATACAGTTACATACTGTTTTGTTCGGTTCATGTTCAGCATGAGCAGTGACAAGCATCTTCTCAAACTCTTGAGAATCTTTCCGACCAACCACAACAATTTGCTTCCGAGAAGGGACCGAGAATATATCAGCCGCACAACACATCAACGGCACGGCCATAGGCAATTCCTTTAATCTCGACTCGAAAACGGCCTACATCACCGTAGTGGCAGCATTGAAGCAACTTATTTTCTCTCAAGTGAGAAAGAAAAGCAAAGAGAGATTCTGACGAAGTGAATATTTACCAAAAGATGCTCCGCATTCTGCCTGTACCCGGCAGCCCTACTTCCTGAGACTAAAGATGCCAATCTGACGAGATTTATTGCTGACACTGAATTTCCTGATGGCTCGGCCCCATCGTGATCTTCCTTAACGCGGAGGAGGACGGAAGGATCTTCCCCTGGGGTGTTGAAATAGGCCCCTCCCTCTTTGTCAAGGAAGAGTTCATCCTGAAAAATCGCAACACAAGAAAGAATTCAAAACAGATAAATAACGCAATAAATTTAATTGCAGTTTGCAAAATAAACTCTGGCTGATGGCTCTTGCCTGTTTGTCCTGTAACTGAATTGCCCATTTTAGCCACTGCACAGAACTGCCAAACTCATACAAATCAAGGAGCCCTGCTATTAGAAAAGCATAATCGTCCAAAAATCCTGGAGCTTTGGATGGGCCTTTGCGGAAGCTATGTTGAAGTCTCCGTGTCTGCTCATCATAAAGTTGCCTCTTTATAAAAGAGGCTGCCTTCTCCGCTGCCTCCAAGTACTCGTTGGGCTGCAAATGGAAAATAATAAAGTGTGTTCATGACTACATGCTATAAGCTTTACCCATAAGCATGTTAGGTAGTCAACGAAAACACCATTAACAGTACCCATAATTATCAATAGATGAAGAAAATAGCAGTACATACAGAACAATATCTTACCCACTAGTCACAAGCAGAATGCATGCGATTAAGAACAATCACTAGGATAAATGCATAGCAGACAAAAGCATTAAGTAATTCAAAAGGCTGCATAGCTTACGTCAGAACCGACAACAGGAAAATGGAACTTGGTTCCTTCAGCTTCAGTTCTGAGAATTCTAGACGCTCTTGCAAAAGATGATATCACAAGCCCATTCCATGAAACAATGACCTGGCAAGCACCTCCAATTAAATTATACAAGACAGTAAAAGACACGGTGCATGTTTTGCTTCGGTTTGAAGAAAAGCAGAGGATGGTTCCGGGATAAATTTTCGTCACAGAGAAGAATTACATTAGTCTTTTTCTTCATTACATGGAGAGTTTTCGCAATTGAGCTCTTACAAGAATCAAACTACTGTCCTGAAATTACCTTATCATCCAAATGTGGTCGAGGACGCCTTACTCTTACATCAAAAAGCTTTTGTCTACATTCTCCCAAAATGTCAAGATATTTGCTTATAGGCATGCCATGCTTTGACGCCTGGGCTGAAGGATCACTTCTCTCGATAAGCACATTTTTCCCCTTAAATTCATTGTGTGGAGCACTTGCTATAGAGAGGTCGCAGTTGCCAGAGGGTTTTATGTAATAGTGGTCCTTGAAAAGTTCCGAGTGCTCTCCAAGTACATCGTCAACCTTCAGAGAAGAAAACCAACATTTTCAATTTAGACAAGCAAACTAGTTATTGAGCAATAGCTCAATTCTTCATTCCAGAGATTAGTCAGAGAAGCCAAATGAAGAAGCTACAAACAGAAAGGAAAGGAAAATGTTTAATCGCATTCTTTCCTCCTTATCAGGGTAATAACTTAACAAGCGGTACGCATAATAGCATCATAGCCAGTCAAGTTTATGGACGTATTTGTAGGTCAGGGAGAGTTACTTGAAGCAAGTGTGAAGATTCTATCTCTGTAAATTATACGTTTTGTTGGTCCCAAACAGTCATTGGAACAGTCAACAGAGCAAAACAGAAAAGTTGAAGCCAAACAAGGATAGCCCATATCTATAAGCTAATCAAAAGAATTTTCAGAGTAGGGATGATACGAATAAAAGAGAAGCCTAGCAAGTAGTCCATTTCATATCACATGTATATCCCGTAAATGACAAGAGAAGAGGCGCACAACCAAAAAGGACACTGAAAACAAATTCAAAACATATTGATAATTCGACTATCCAGATTACAGAGTAAATACAAAACGTGCATGTCTAAATAAATCGCTTGGAAATGAGGTCAGATGCCCTGTGAACTCACCTCTTTGCTAGTCCATACATAAAAAGCACCTTCCTTTTTCCTGGGGGCTCCTTCATATTCTGCGCTATCTGCATCCTCTGCTGAAAATATTTCACCTTCAGACCCAGTCATCTCTCTTCTCAAATAGTCCAGAATATCACGGGAAACACACGAATAAAACACATCTTTCGTGATTGTAAAGGAATCCAGATATACATTGGTAAGCTGTCCATGATCATACAACATCTTCTCAAAATGTGGAACTGCAAAGAGAACAGAACTTCAGTTATTTCTATCAGATTCACATCTCACAGAAAACCCTAACACGAAATATCCGTCCCCACGGAGGGAAAAAAAAACCCAAAAAAAGGAGGAAAAAGACAAATTCTTCCCCTTGGAAGGCACTCACCGTGCCAGCATTCATCCACACTGTATCTGTGAAAACCACCTCCAATGTGATCATGGATGCCTCCTCTCGCCATGCACTTCAAGCTAAAGAAAACCATACCCGAAGCCTTATCTGCCTGACTTGATTTTCCTGCCTCCTCCAGCTTTTTGGCATGATGAAGCATTAACTGCACTTCTACAGGTCTCGGAAACTTCGGGGCTGATCCAAATCCACCATATTTTGGATCGTAACTTGCCGAAAGCTATAACAAAGAAGTATATCCCATTAACAACGGAACTCACAACATACAAGTAACAAATTTTTTTATTTGAAGCCAAGCCTCTAACTGTTTGGTTAGTGAAAGGAAGGTCAAGGTGACAAGTAAATTGAACAACTATGCATCATTGTAGCAAAGTATTTGAAGGGCACTTCTTCGTGAAGCCACTGCTCAACCATGATGCAGCAAATATGTACATTTACCAGAATAATCACCAGATCATCTACATATTTATTGGATTAATTAAAACCTTTAGCTCAAAGAAACAATTGGCTACAAGATGAGCTTGAGGACTACGACTTCCCAAATTCTTATTCGAATCCTGGTAGGAAGCAAAGTTCATGCCCATCACGTCAGAAGTAAGAGGTGCGCTTTTTTGAGCATCAGGAACGGGAACATGGAACATTTCATATATTGCTCTTGTAGTTTCCTCCTCGCTTACACTACATCGGTTCATGCCAGACCTAAACAAGTAGAACGAGCAAGTTAGTTGTGGAAGTAGATCAAGATTGTATAGATAGTGGAAGCAATGTACACCTTAACTACCTCATTTGTTACAAATTAAGCAAAAGTCATTAGCTCACATATCAAGCACCTTCTTTCTCTATAACTACTGGTTTAAATCACAAGAAGAAAGATTCCACTTGAAAGGGACTTACAGCCAATCAAGCATGCTACAGACCCACTTCTCAGGCAGGTCATGGGGATTTTTTCCGAATGGTAGAAGCCGCCATTTTCGGCACTCATCGCAACCCACCCAGTTTTCTTCTATTAGGACAGGAGCTGCAGTAGAAGGAGCCGCATCAACAGTAAGGTTATTTCCGGAGCCAGACCCTAAATGTGAAGCTGTATTATAATCTGCTTCTGATGTGGACGCCATGTCAGTTCTCTTGCTACTTAATCTCTCCTTTTTCACGTCATATTCTGATATGCCTTTCTCAACCGCACTAGAGTCCTTCCGCCTTTCTTCAGGGACCATTTTCATCAGCTGATTTTGACTTTCTTCTTCTCCATCTATATCCCCAAAGAATTCTTTGTATCTCTCCCTTCCTTTTCCGGGTTTTTTGGCCAATTTAGCGTCCTCACGACCACTTCTAGACTTAGAATTGCCTGTACTATGGCTCTTGTTATTCTTGGTCACAGAAGTTGAACCACTCAAGCTCTCTTTGGATGCATCAGCAACTGCTGCACCTTCATTTTTAACTTTCACTTTTTCTTTCCCGTTAGAAGGTGGATTATCCTTTCCAGAAGGCAAAGTCAACCCATCTTTGTCCATATAAGAACCTTTTTTAGCAGTAATTTCGCAAAGACTATCCGTCTGAACCACTCGTTCAGCTGAACCATTCTTTCCCCTCAGAATACATAAGTCAGGTTTTGATTCCCGAAAATTTTCTTCTGCACTAATGCCTTCTTTCCTGGAGTGAACGGCAATATCATCAATGGCAGTTCCTCTTTTATCTCTAGCAAGTTTCCCAGCACCACGGGCCTTGGGCTTGTCAAGCGAACCCAGTTCTTGACTAAACGGTGGTTCTGTAGTTTCTTCTGCAGCTTGATCGGAAAGGATATTGTCCAATGCTACAGTGCTGGCTTCATGGGCACCATAAGATTCCCCCCATGTGCTTTTCACCATGTCACCCGGAGTGCCTATGTTAGATAAGATTGGAAGCTTCAAAGTCTTCGAAACTAGCTCCTCACATACCAGCATGTCAATGTCCAATTCCTTCTTCGGTGCAGTATCAGCACTGCTCCGAGAGTCCTTACCGCCTTTTGCCTCCTTCAAATCCTCAGTATTTCTTAATGACTCCAATTTCTTTTTGCCGATCACCTTTTTCCGATCCTTCAGACAATTAATTCCATTTGCCCGCATGCCAGAGCTTGCTGGATCAGCACTCAAAGCAGCCCCAGTCCTATGATCAGATAGATGCTTCTCTTTAATGGTTAAAAAACAAGATCGTCCGCAAGTGGCGACAGCAGCAAATTTCCATGCACCGGATACGAAGTCATCATCTGATCCACAGAATCAATAAAGATATTACAACTAACCTCAAAACGGCAATTGAAAAACTGATACATTCAAAAAATGGTCAAAAATTATTCACCCTTAAAATACTGGTGGGAGACTCAAATGACGTGTCATGGGGTCCATGACTCATTCCCTCACTTTCAGAGGGGCTGTCCTCCAATGATGAGGTCGGTGAGACATCAAGGCCAAGACCACTGTAAATCGCAGCCCTTTTCTGTGTCGACAAGTTATCCGCACCCTCTTTGATTCTAACCTTCAGCGTTTTCTGATCAGACAAATTGGCAGACTTACTGTCAGTATACTCTACAGCCTGGAGAGGTGGCATGCACCCATCTTGCTTAACTGAATTTTCCACATTCGTTTTCTTCCTTGAAGGGTGTGATATGGTAACAGCAGAAACAGATCGATCTCTATTCGTATGGGTGGTGGGCAAGGAAACTGAAGAATCATGGTGCAAATCCTGAGTAAAAGCAGAATTCTTTAAGTGCTAAATCCAGTAATAAAAGTAAAACCAAATTGAAATACAGGTATCCCTCTAAGGAAAACACTCTCTACCTCCACATTCGATGCACACGTCGACCGTGGTGTACCATAATTCTGACCTCTTGGTGGAGATTTTGAATGGGACCAAACAGGAGACCGCCGGTCAGCTGGTAAAAACGAACCGTAACCACCAAATTTTGCCCCTGTGGAATACATATTCCCAAAAACTTAAGGTTATACACATCCGTCATTCTTGGATCACAAATAAGCATCATCTTTAACTGTTTCAGTTACCCAAGTTCTCAGCTGATACCCCTCCTTCAAAATCTTTACGGAAGTGTCCAAGCACATGCTGAAGTTTCTCCCCCTTCAAAATTAAAACAGTAACATCAACCACTTCCCTATAATTACACGACAAAGGGGACAGGGATGTATAGGAATCCAATCCTGAAGACACTTTAGACAAATGACCAAAAGAATGAAGGAGACAAAGAGTATCGGTTTATACAGAGATATAGCCGCTACTGTACCAAAAAGTTACGTGACGAAGAAAAAGATTACTTCCTAATCCTATCCACCATTCTTCCTCTCTTCATACTAAGAATTTTTCTAAGATCGGAAACGTAGACAAAAGTAAAAGCCCCTTTCCAGCTAAATACCTTTCCCTGCATACATAAAACTGCTGGGAATGAAAAACGGAACGCCGACAACAGCTAGACAATATACCGTGCCAACATTTCTTTCTCCTTTTCAAATTAGATGATTGCATCAACCTGTTCTTCTTTACCTCCAGATTCTCGAGACTTAGCCTCGCATAGAACGCTTAGAACAGGTTTTGTGAACAAGAAACTCAGTCCAATAGCATCCAAACCCCGTAGCAAAAACAAATCTCTGTGCCGTACAGAGACATTTAAACATATCCACCTATATAGTGTCTACAGCCCACGAATGGGAGGTAAAGTGGACCAAATATGGCAAGTCAAATCCTTAAAATCCAGCACTTGTTAAGCGCAAGAAACACACGAGAACGAACGAACTAGTTCGGAGAACGTAACCAAAACAAACACAAATAAAAGAAGACCTTACAATGTAAGATAGAGAAACATCAGGGTCCGTGCCGTCATCAAAACCACGATCGTTGTCATGGTAAGAATAAGCCTCGCCCTCCTCGAGCTCTGTATCCTCCATCTTTCTGTCTCCTCCAAAAGATCCTAGAGCTAAACTTTTTCTTGCATCTCTGTTTCTCGCGGTAATAATCAGGGGGCCCAAAAAAAAAAAAGGCAAAAAAGAAAAAAAAAACTAAACAAAAAAGAAAATCAAAGAAGCTGCTCAAGAACCGAAAGCTCTCTCTCCTGAACAACAAGAACACTTCGACCCATTATCCAGCTCGGAGAAACAAGCGAAACCCAGCTGGGGATTTCTCGGCCTCGATCAATTACCCGAACCCGATCGAGAACGCCAACCCGCCCACCCCCTCCCTCCCCTCCCCCCAAAACAGAGAGAGAGAGAGAGAAGAAAGGAAAAAACTCCAATTGCTTCAATCAGAAGAACCCCCACAACCGAAACTCCGCACTAATTGACCAATTGACCGCTCGAGAAGATGCTCCCCAGCTCCACTGTGCAGATCGCTATGGCGTGATCTACAATCCTCAACGCGGGTAAGAATCGAATTAGCTCACAGAGAGAGAGAGAGAAAATAAGATGCTCTTCAGCTCCACTGGGCATCTCGCCATGGCGTGATCCACACAATTCTCCGTGTGGGTAAGAATAGAATGAGCGCTGAGAGAGACTTGATAGTGATTGACTTGACTCCTGTAACTCCTGAAAAACGGACTTTGCTTTTGCTTTTGCTTTCCGGCTCGTCTAGCTCCTCACCAAACTGCAAAACAGACTTTGCTTTTGCTTACATTTCAAGCAACCATTCGATATGTGTTTTATATACGGTAAGCTATACCAGAATCGTTAGATCTGAAAAGCCCCGCAACATTTAACGATCGAAAAACAATCCATAACATATATATATACACACACCACAATTACCGTTTCTCTCGTATTTGCTCCCATCGCGTGCTATGATTGGTTACGATGTAGTCAATCCAGAGGTAAAACCTAAAAAATTGCCCGCAAGTTCATGTAAGGGATGGATACATTTATAAGAAGTCATATCATGGTATAAGATGCATTATATTATAGGGCGCGACAGCGACATGCGCACATCAATAAAGACTAGATTTTAAGATTAAAAAAAAACAGGTGATTGAGACGTGCCTCACGTGAACGACGTGATTAACCAATGACACCACATCGACCATACAAACAAATGCATCAAAACACTATATACTGTTCCGTGGCTCCTGCTTAGAATTAAACATGGGAAAAATTAGTAGATATTGACCCAAGATAAAGGAAGGTTTTGATTAGTTGATACTTAGCAGACTGCTTTGGTCAAAATTCAAGAAAGCTCATTACAGGGAATTATGAAGCGAATATTCTTAGGAGTTGTGCCACTCGGTTATATTCCATTGTTTTTGTAATTCCAGGGTTCAAAGCTTAATGGATGAATTGAATAACTATTAAAAAATGTTGTCATGAAACTCTCCACCCCCAGGCCAGAACTTCTTGTTTCCGAAGGCGAATCTATCAAAGATCAGGCTCTATCCAACTTTTTCTGGTTCACCTCAACATTTCCTACTTGTCCGATTGAATACTTTCCATTTTGGATTATTCTCAAAGGAGAAATATGGCCATCCTTACCCCCTCACGTCAATCCCATGATTGCAAAGGGGAAATTTTCCAAAAACGTCCTAAACTTATTATATTGTCAGCTATTAAATCATAATCTTGTCAATTGTACCAATTTAGTTCTTCCGATTAATTTTGGTCAAAAATTGCTGATGTGGAGATTAATTTTCCTACGTGACATGATTGACGCTAACGTGGACAATTTTTACAAATTTTAAAAGATGTTTCGAATTTTTTTATTAATTTTCTTTTTTTTTTAACTGCCACTAGCCTTGTCATAAAGCCCTTGGCCAAGTGCTCATGGCTGTGGGCAAGGGTCACAACCCTCGTCGCCCACAACGAGGGTGCGCGAGGGTAGTGACGCCATTGCCGTGGCCCACGACACCCTTGTTGTGACTCACAAGGGCTTGGGCTTGGGCGAGGTCTCCACAGCCCTTGGTGCAACCGCCAGTCCAATGGAAAAACAAAGAAGAAAAAAATTAATAAAAAATTCAGAAAATTTTAAAAATTTTGCAAAAACTATTTACGTTGACGACTCCAACTATCCTATATAAAACAGTCGGACGTTTACATGAGCAATTTCCAATCAAAATAAGCCTGAATGACTAAATTACAAATCATCAAAAAGTTGACTAAATTTGTATAACTAAAAGGTTTAAAACTTAATTGATCATTGTACAATAAATCTAGGACTCTTTGGATAATTATTTCACCCATCGCCCTGTAAAACCTCTTTAGCTCTTCAGCTTTCAAGGGACTCGGTAGTCGTGATAATATGATAAGATGTCTAACTTAAAAACTTAAATCTATAAAAAAGACCCCATATGTATTAATGTATGTAATGTAAAGAAACGATCTAGAATACTTTAGAGAAAAATTAATGGGAAGGGGAAGCTCAGTGGAAAAGAAAAATATTCTACACGCCAATCACGGGCTGTGTCCCCATTTCTGTCCAATCACCTTTACGGGATCTTCGAGACGTCGAAACCGTAAAGGTAAGAATCAGCCCTCTGTCGTGAAGTGTCGTGCCATGCAACTTGTTCGATTTTCAAGCGCTTTGCGCTTCGCAAAACAATCACATTCTCTACCGTACATTGTTGTACCATTAGAAAAAAAATCGACCTTTTGAACCTCGCCAACATAAAACAACTTGCGACTTTTTACCAGTCGGTCAAATGACAAACTCCAGAAGGAAAAGTTGTAAAGGTCACCAAACCCAGGAGATCATAAAGCCTCTGTTCAAAAACTCAAAAGAAACTGATCAAGAAGGTCCGTATTAGCTGACCAAACAATTGGAACTGTAAACAAGCAACCAGGCCCGGCAAAGAAACTACTCATTCGAATTTGTCTATATAGAATTGGAAAAGGGGAAACAATCTTTCGGCCAAGAAGAGGACAATGAGAATTGGGGCACGCAAACAATTCATATCACAAAGCTAAGCCTTCAAAATGGCCTTTTTATTACTGTGACTACCACTACCAGGGTATACGAACAAGTCTCATCTCTGTACACCACCAGCTAAAATTATTTACCGATCAGAGCTAAACATGGCTCGAGTATGTTATTTACTATAAGTACTCGCAAAGCGCGTAGCTGCATAACCTTTCGCATCTCGTGTTTCTGCACTCCGCTCCATTAGGATGCAGTTCGGACGGATGATTTAGGCGACAGCTTTGCTTGCAGAGAGCTTGCGCTGGTGATCGCGGGGCTGCAAGTGAAGTTCTGGCACACAAGCGCCACCACTCTGTCTTCAGCAGCATTGTTTTTGGCCATCAGCGCGATGTTACTGTTATTCTCTTCCCAGAACTGTACCTCCTCTGAGTTGGTGGGATCGATGTGAATCACCTGTCATCAATTGCATTTAGGAGCTATAAACACAAGATGACACTAAAAGAAAAGCCCTTTCCATTCTGATACAGTTACATACTGTTTTGTTCGGTTCATATTCAGCATGAGCAGCGACAAGCATCTTCTCAAACTCTTGAGAATCTTTCCGACCAACCACAACAATTTGCTTCCGAGAAGGGACCGAGAATATATCAGCCGCACAACACATCAACGGCACAGCCATAGGCACTTCCTTTAATCTCGACTCGAAAACGGCCTACATCACCGTAGCGGCAGCATTGAAGCAACTTATTTTCTCTCAAGTGAGAAAGAAAAGCAAAGAGAGATTCTGACGAAGTGAATATTTACCAAAAGATGCTCCGCATTCTGCCTGTACCCGGCAGCCCTACTTCCTGAGACTAAAGATGCCAATCTGACGAGATTTATTGCTGACACTGAATTTCCTGATGGCTCGGCCCCATCGTGATCTTCCTTAACGCGGAGGAGGACGGAAGGATCTTCCCCTGGGGTGTTGAAATAGGCCCCTCCCTCTTTGTCAAGGAAGAGTTCATCCTGAAAAATCGCAACACAAGAAAGAATTCAAAACAGATAAATAACGCAATAAATTTAATTGCAGTTTGCAAAATAAACTCTGGCTGATGGCTCTTGCCTGTTTGTCCTGTAACTGAATTGCCCATTTTAGCCACTGCACAGAACTGCCAAACTCATACAAATCAAGGAGCCCTGCGATTAGAAAAGCATAATCGTCCAAAAATCCTGGAGCTTTGGATGGGCCTTTGCGGAAGCTATGTTGAAGTCTCTGTGTCTGCTCATCATAAAGTTGCCTCTTTATAAAAGAGGCTGCCTTCTCCGCTGCCTCCAAGTACTCGTTGGGCTGCAAATGAAAAATAATAAAGTGTGTTCATGACTACATGCTATAAGCTTTACCCATAAGCATGTTAGGTAGTCAACGAAAACACCATTAACAGTACCCATAATTATCAATAGATGAAGAAAATAGCAGTACATACAGAACAATATCTTACCCACTAGTCACAAGCAGAATGCATGCGATTAAGAACAATCACTAGGATAAATGCATAGCAGTCAAAAGCATTAAGTAATTCAAAAGGCAGCATAGCTTACCTCAGAGCCGACAACAGGAAAATGGAACTTGGTTCCTTCCGCTTCAGTTCTGAGAATTCTAGACGCTCTCGCAAAAGATGATATCACAAGCCCATTCCATGAAACAATGACCTGGCAAGCACCTCCAATTAAATTATACAAGACAGTAAAAGACACGGTGCATGTTTTGCTTCGGTTTGAAGAAAAGCAGAGGATGGTTCCGGGATAAATTTTCGTCACAGAGAAGAATTACATTAGTCTTTTTCTTCATTACATGGAGAGTTTTCGCAATTGAGCTCTTACAAGAATCAAACTACTGTCCTGAAATTACCTTATCATCCAAATGTGGTCGAGGACGCCTTACTCTAACATCAAAAAGCTTTTGTCTACATTCTCCCAAAATGTCAAGATATTTGCTTATAGGCATGCCATGCTTTGATGCCTGGGCTGAAGGATCACTTCTCTCGATAAGCACATTTTTCCCCTCAAATTCATTGTGTGGATCACTCGCTCTAGAGAGGTCGCAGTTGCCAGAGGGTTTTATGTAATAGTGGTCCTTGAAAAGTTCCGAGTGCTCTCCAAGTACATCGTCAACCTTCAGAGAAGCAAACCAACATTTTCAACAAGCAAACTAGTTATTGAGCAATAGCTCAATTCTTCATTCCAGAGATTAGTCAGAGAAGCCAAATGAAGAAGCTACAAACAGAAAGGAAAGGAAAATGTTTAATCGCATTCTTTCCTCCTTATCAGGGTAATAACTTAACAAGCGGTATGCATAATAGCATCATAGCCAGTCAAGTTTATGGACGTATTTGTAGGTCAGGGAGAGTTACTTGAAGCAAGTGTGAAGATTCTATCTCTGTAAATTATACGTTTTGTTGGTCCCAAACAGTCATTGGAACAGTCAACAGAGCAAAACAGAAAAGTTGAAGCCAAACAAGGATAGCCCATATCTATAATCAAAAGAATTTTCAGAGTAGGGATGATACAAATAAAAGAGAAGCCTAGCAAGTAGTCCATTTCATATCACATGTATATCCCGTAAATGACAAGAGAAGAGGAGCACGACCAAAAAGGACACTGAAAACAAATTCAAAACATATTGATAATTCGACTATCCAGATTACAGAGTAAATACAAAACGTACATGTCTAAATAAATCACTTGGAAATGAGGTCAGATGCCCTGTGAACTCACCTCTTTGCTAGTCCATACATAAAAGGCACCTTCCTTTTTCCTGGGGGCTCCTTCATATTCTGCGCTATCTGCATCCTCTGCTGAAAATATTTCACCTTCAGACCCGGTCATCTCTCTTCTCAAATAGTCCAGAATATCACGGGAAACACACGAATAAAACACATCTTTCGTGATTGTAAAGGAATCCAGATATACATTGGTAAGCTGTCCCTGATCATACAACATCTTCTCAAAATGTGGAACTGCAAAGAGAACAGAACTTCAGTTATTTCTATCAGATTCACATCTCACAGAAAACCCTAACACGAAATATCCGTCCCCACGGAGGGAAAAAAAAACCCAAAAAAAGGAGGAAAAAGACAAATTCTTCCCCTTGGAAGGCACTCACCGTGCCAGCATTCATCCACACTGTATCTGTGAAAACCACCTCCAATGTGATCATGGATGCCTCCTCTCGCCATGCACTTCAAGCTAAAGAAAACCATACCCGAAGCCTTATCTGCCTGACTTGATTTTCCTGCCTCCTCCAGCTTTTTGGCATAATGAAGCATTAACTGCACTTCTACAGGTCTCGGAAACTTCGGGGCTGATCCAAATCCACCATATTTTGGATCATAACTTGCCGAAAGCTATAACAACGAAGTATATCCCATTAACAACGGAACTAACAACATACAAGTAACAAATTTTTTTATTTGAAGCCAAGGCTCTAACTGTTTGGTTAGTGAAAGGAAGGTCAAGGTGACAAGTAAATTGAACAACTATGCATCATTGTAGCAAAGTATTTGAAGGGCACTTCTTCGTGAAGCCACTGCTCAACCATGATGCAGCAAATATGTACATTTACGAGAATAATCACCAGATCATCTACATATTTATTGGATTAATTAAAACCTTTAGCTCAAAGAAACAATTGGCTACAAGATGAGCTTTGTTTAGCTTGGAAATAGGAATTACAGCAAATATTATAACAATTTAAAAAGGTCAAACACAAAATCATCACCTGGTCTGCACATTTTTGCGCTGCAGTTTGGGGAAGTCCATCTGACAATTTATTCGATTCTGCACTCACTGATAATGCTTCTGAGAGCTGTTCAATGGCAAATGTTCCACCTTTAACAAGCATATCCCTCCTATTGTCCCATGCATCTTTCACCTTCCTATAACAATATGATTGCAGACAAAGATCAGATCATCAATTAAGCATACAACTACATAGCATTTGCATGGACAATCAACACTCCTCCTAGAATTGAAATGTTCAGGAAATACAAACCGCTAGCATTGCAAATACACGAATGGGTACATTTTCTCACCTGAGAACAGTCTTAAAGCCCGGTCTTCCTAATTTATCATCGGGAGGGAAGTAAGTCCCACCCATTAGAGGTTTCAGGTCAGGTGAAAGAAAGACACTCAGAGGCCAACCTCCGCCACCATACAATGCCTGCACGTATGTCATGTATACCTGGAAAATGGGGAAAAAACAAATCATTAGGGGTTCAAGCAATAATCTACATAAATTAATGGTACATTAGCTTCACCTAATTTCTATATGCGGCTCCATATTACCAAAGTATATCTGATATATTCTAATCATTGCCAATATACCGCCCAGACATCTTCCATTTTCATTTAAGTTGAAGACATAATCAAACACAACACTGACAAAAACATCGCTAGTAAATGAATGATGACAATTATAAAACCCAAATTATCAGGAACATCCCCTGATTAAGAAATAACATACCTTGTCAACATCTGGTCGTTCCTCTCGATCCACCTGTAGCACAAATGTTTTAAATTATTCAGAGCCAAATAACTAAAATAGCTACGAAACTAGCAAACAACACCGAGTAGCAACCAATGCGGTAAAGAAAAGAAGGCTATATCCACCGGTATGTCCTTACCTTGACACTGACAAACCAATCATTAAGTAACTTTGCCACTCCCTCATCTTCAAAGGATTCCACCTCCATGACATGACACCTACTCATGAGGAAAAGTTCACTGTACCATTAAAAACCATCCACCCAAGATCTTGCATAAAGCACAAGTGCGTTTAGATTAGAATAAGTCTCACCAGTGGCACGTGCTGTAGCCGACTTCGAATGAAAGAACAAAACGATGCCAACGAGAGATGCCCAAAAAATAGTATGTAAGCTCGCAATGCACGACGTTATCAAAGAATCAGACCCGCAAACCACAAAGAGAGCAAAAATGAATTTCATATTACTTGATAGGAAGATGGGCACATCCCTCTTTCTTGCTTCGGCGAAAGCCTCTTCACCCCACGGATACCAGTTGACCTTCAATCGCCAAAAATCGAAACTTTAATCAATCTCGACTATCTCACGAGACGCGACGAGAACGCAGAAATTCCTCCCCACCATATTCCCCTCGTTCAAGTCACTCCAAGATTACGGGGGATTCAACAGTGTCTATTCAAGAAATCAATTCAAACACTCGAGAAATCCAGACGCGCAAGCTAAGCAAGCGACGACCCGAGTTCTACGGAACGAAACCTCGAGATCAAACCGTCGAAAGTAGAAACATTTTTGCTCCTAAACAGTTCACACCCGGAGAACAAACTCATGCGGGAAAGAAGCAGAGAGAACCGTTTCGCACGCACGGGATTGTGGGCGTGCTGGAGGAGATAAGGGCTATGCTCGGAGGCGAGACGGTTGGCGCGCCCCCGGGGCAGCGACGTCGAGGCGTCCGCGTGCCGGGCCATGGCGAACCCACTGCGAGCGCGAAAGGGTCGAGGGGAAACCGCGGGGAGAGGCCGAGGGAGGGAAGGGAAGGGGAAGCGGGTCGCTCGGGAGGTACCTGCGGGGAGGGAACGCAGGGAGGAAGAGAGCAGAAGCAGCCTGGGAAGCATAGAAGGAAGTGGGGAGTGACTCGGGACCGATAAGATGGAGAGAGTCGTCGTTCGGTTTAGGGGGAGAGGGGAATAGAGAGGCTGCCATGTGTGCCGGAGTGTCGGACGATATGGCGAATCGCCATGGTGGAAGGGAAAGGGAAAGGGTGGATCGCTGGCGCACCCCCCACGGCTGTTGGAGCTTTCGCCTGCGTGTGGGACGATAGAGCTCGAACCTTATAAAACCATAATATGGTATTAAGGCTGCGCATGACAACTTGTCAAATCGTGTTTGATTTTATTCTTTCGTTTCCAGAATCAGTTTGGAAACAGAAATGCGTTTGTTTAATTTTTTGATTCTGGGCACAATTTTGTCAAAAATTGTTCCCATAATCAGTTTTCAAGAAAAAAAAAAAAAGTAGCTTTTTGATTCTGGGAACAATTTTGAGAATCAATTTTTTTTTCTTCTTCCTTTTCTTGGTTTTTAATGTAGCTTCTAATGTCCGGCCCGAGGACCGCCCTCGCCGGATCTGAAGAGAATAAAATTATTTTAATAAAAAATATTATTAAAATAAAAAATATTTTACCGGCCATGGCCAAAAAAAAGAAAAATATATATTTTAAATAAAAATATTTTAATAAAAAATATTATTAATAAAAAAAAATATTTTACCTGCCATGGCCGGTGACCAGGCCATGGCAAAAAAAAAATATTTTTAATAAAAATATTATTAATAAAAAAAAATATTTTACCGGCCATGGCCAGCGACCAGGCCATGGCAAAAAAAAAAAAAAAATGTATATTTTTAATAAAAATATTTGGGAAATTATCAAATAAGGACCCAAAGTGGGTGCCTTTTTTCAAAAGAGGACCTCAAGTGAACAAGGTATCAATTAAGGACCCAAAGTGCCAAACTAGTATCAAATAAGGACCTGAGCTCGCCGGCCGGCCAAATGTTCTCCGGCCGGCGACCGGCCGACATTTCCGGCACCGGAATAGGGGCAATTTTTGACCGGCGACCAAGCCATGGCAAAAAAAAATAAAAATATATATTTTTAATAAAAATATTATTAATAAAAAAAATATTTTACCTGCCATGACCGGCGACCAGGCCATGGCCCAAAAAAATAAAAATGTATATTTTTAATAAATATATTTTAATAAAAAATATTATTATTAAAAAAAATATTTTACCTGCCATGGCCGGCAACCAGGCCATGGCAAAAAAAAAATAAAAAAATATATATTTTTAATAAAAAATATTATTAATAAAAAAAATATTTTACTGGTCATGGCCAGCGACCAGGCCATGGCAAAAAAAAAGACAATATATTTTTAATAAAAATATTATTAATAAAAAAATATTTTACCGGTCATGGCAGGTGAACAGGCCATGGCCAAGAAGGAGGAAAAGAAAAAAAGAAAAGAAAAAAAGAAAGAAATATTAAAATATTTAAAAATATTATTAATAAAAAGAAATTTTGTGGCGTTACCAAACGCATTTTTGTTCTTTTTCTATTCCAGGGATGGAATTTTGGGCCGTTAACAAACGCCTTAAAATGCTGAGAATCAATTCCGGGCACAGAATAAAAAAGAATCATTTCTGAGCAGAATTTGTTCCCGGGCACAGAATCATTGTCATGCGCCTAAATAAGACCTTAAATTGCTTCGTCCGAGGTTTTGTGGAGATCCCGACATCTCTCGTACGTTAAACATATAGGCTGCATTTGGTCGACCGGATAAAAGCCAGGATATTATATGTTTTATCCTATTCTGTATTTGGTGGTGGTCCATGATAGGATAAGGTCGGATATAGACCGGATATAGCCCGGATAAAAAAATCCAAGGGGGGTTGGGATAGACCTGGATAGGATTTCTAATGCCTATTTTTCCAGAAACCCTACGCTCCACTCGCCGTCATCTTCATTCCCACACCTTGTGCGCTTTCACCAAAAAAATTTCTCAGCTTTTTTTCCTTCACCGACTCCTCCGGACCCGTGAATAGCAAAAAAAAAAAAAATTATCCTATCCGACTTTAAATCCGTAGTCCACCAAACAGTGGATAGGATATAAAGGAATCTCAGGATTTCTTATCCTATCCTATCCAGTCCTATCCTGTTTAGAAATCCGGACAACCAAACGCAGCCAATTAGGAAAATTAGGCATGCAAGCTCCAGCACGTTAAATAAGGAATACGATCATAACAGCCCACCATGTATATACATCTGAACAGGGGGCGGCCCCAGTCGAAAGGTTTCAGCTTCCCTTTGCTTAGGTGAGGTACATTTCAGTAACACCAAAAATCCAAGGCAGGCCCTCGATTTTCGACGCTAAGATTGTTCGTACGTGAAGTTTAATAACTGTGATTTAAAAGAATTGATAAATATATATACATAAGTATTAAAAATATTAATTGTATATTCTTTTTGTTTTTTTATTTTACATTATAAAGGGAAATTTGGAAAAATAATTAAAAATGAGACGAAATTTACTTTTTGGTTAGCTTGCGTATAAGATAGGAGAGAAAATATAACATTCGCATATGTTTGAACTTTTTGCCCCGACGAAACTCTTTATGTTATTTTCTACTCAATGTATAATGGCTTTTCCCATTTTTCTTTGTTGAACTTTTTAAATTTTTTTCTCCTCCTCCTTTGGTTTGCATTAGCACTTCTATCCAAAAATTTACCATAAAATTCATAAATCTATTGATGTTAATCAATCATAACCTTTTCAATTTGACCAATTTAATTATTAACTTTTTTGACAATTAGTCAATGTAGTCATTACAGCCAACTCTCTCTCTCTCTCTACTTGGTTATCAATGCCATGTATGTATGTATCTCGCTTTTGATCAGTCGTTTACACTGCCTGCTACTATCACCCACTGCATCCGTCACATAAAATTCCGTTTACACCTAAGTTTCTGCTGCTCTTAACTATGGTGCTGAATACAACTTTTGGGCTTTTTCAAGTGGGCTTATATGCTTCGCGCTCTTGTCATGTCATCTTGTCTGTCCATGGAAAAGTGGGCTTTACCTTGTGTCAGCGTAAGACCATTGACTTTTCTGGGTTTTGACTTAATGCACAACTTATGGCCCAACTCAAAGAAATTGCTGAACATTCTCTTTCGCTAATTGCAATTTAAGAGTTTCGATCAAAAAAAAAAATTGCAATTTAAGAGGATCAACCAATTCTTTGCTTCCCGTCATAACTAGGCTAATGGTCACTCAATTCTGAAAATGCTGAAGAAGCCTGTAGCCCAAACAAGGTTCTGTTCAATTAAAAAAAAAAGTTATGAATTTCCATTTAATGCGTGCAAAAAATCGAAAATAATTGCTTGTACGTACCGGTGTATCTTCTAAATTATTACGGAGACCGGATTGAATTGTGCCATGTTCTAATTAAATCGATAAAAAACGAATCGAGCCGAACATGATCGATCAAAAGTCACAGCGAGGGCAGGACCGATACTCGATTGAATCGGCCGGCCCATTACGATTTTTGAAAAAGCTAATGCGTGGCGAAGTTCTGTCCGCACGAAGTTTCGAATCTCTCCCAATCGATCGAAACTAATGTTTTCCTTTTTTTTCAAAATCCTCCATTGCATTCTTCTGCTAGGGACATGTCAAGACCAACAATTCGAGCAAGACTAATTCAAGGTAATCATGGTCTAGCTCATGATGATCCACGGGTTTTATATCCCTTAGCATATTAAAATAAAAAGCATCTCCAAATTCTTGTGTTGGATTTATCTTATGTTATCCTAAGCTAAAAATCATGATTCCTATGTCTTCATGCAATGCATTTCGTCGATGAGGTACAAAGGGGTAAAAGTGAAAACTGGAAAATTCACCACGCATCAATCATTTTTCTTTCTTTCGTTTTTTGCAAATGAAAAGAAATAAAGGGGGAGGGGACTCCATAAACCCCACTTTACATTACTTTAGGTGGTAAATGTGGGAAAAACAGTTCGATTTTGACCCGATCTGCAATACGATTGGGCATCATCAATCAAATTTCTTGACCTTAAGACGTAAAACTTCAGAGACATTCCAAGAGAATTGTACCCAAGAATGCTAACCCCAAAATCTTGTTGGCAGGTCGGGCCATGAGCTGTACCAAAAAAAAAAACTGGCATAGAATTCCAAATGGTGGGCTCAAAGTGTCTCCTGTACTCCACCATCATGACCACCGGCTTTGGTCACCTGCCGTAATCATTCAGTCCCAGTCTGCTTTTCACCTTCCTGGGAAAATTCCCCTTTTTTTCTGTCCTTTATATCTTCTTTTGGCTTTCGCAGGAGGAGAACAGGCTTTGGATATGATGTCACAGGATGTGGTCTCAACAGGAGGAGATTTGGAATAGGAAAAAAAAAGAGAAATTTCTTGGGAGAGATGTGTTTGACATGGCTGAGACAGAAGTTTACATGCACATTTAAGGCATGGATAACCAAATTCTGATTTCGCCATGTTAATTTGATTCGTACAGTGGGAATACTTAAAAGGTTCGCATGTAGATGATTTCTAAATGATGACGGTCCGTATTTTCTGCAATGACTGAGGTTTCAATAACCGTTCTACTATTATGTTGCTCAATCCAAAGAAGGATCATTAGAATTTCAAGTTTTATTTTCTATTACAAACGAATACAACGGAAAGAATCGAAAGCTGTTTTAGTGGTTTATCTTCTAGCTCTTTGCTTTTGATCTAATAGGGCGGTAAAATAACATTTGAAATTGGTGAGAAGAAGGAAGAATTACACCAGAAAACCCTCTTCGTTCCTTCCTTTATTTCTTGTTTGGGGGATGGTAAAATAACATTTGAAATTGGTGAGAAGAAGGAAGAATTACACCAGAAAGCCCTCTTCGTTCCTTCCTTTATTTCTTGTTTGGGGGATGGGTGCGAGGGGGGGGGGGGGGGGGATCTTGTGCTTCTGCAAAAAGCTAATGACACCTATAATAACATGATTGGGATTGCTTAATTGACGTGATTAAGAAGACAGATGATGACTGATAACTTGTTTAAGAACCCTTAAAGCACCAAAAGCATATGGTCCTAAGTACTTTCAAGTGAATATATGAGAAAGAATTTGCAGGTCAGGTTGAGAAATGTTTTTCTAGCGAAGAGCCACACAACTTATTTCTTTTTATGTCACCTTTGCTGAAGCAAGCCTCTCGTCATTGATTCTGCCGGTTGTGGCCTCATTATAACTTCTTGGAATTTTCTTATATTTACAAAAAGATAAAAAAAAGAAAAAGGAAAAAGAAAAAGGAAAAGGAACAAAATCCATTTTTATACTGTTTACTGCCCTCCATGGCCTGAACTATTTATGATAGTAGGCCAAAACTTTGGTAGGATGTTGTTAACGCTTAGCAGATGGCCTAGGATCCATCGATCTGTACCAGGACAAACTAAGTTTTAATGATTAGAACTCTTGATTAATCTGGAATGCTGTTCGTTAGTACCATGGTGAGAGCAAATCAAGGAGATTTAGAAGGCATAATCGTCATGAGAATAATGCAACGAACTGTAACTAGCCTTTTAAAGAAGTGCGCCCTCTTGTATACCCAGATAATATCATAACAATCTGTGTTGCAGTTTGTAAACTAATCTCGATTTACCTTTTGTCGCAATTCTATCAGAATGACTTGGGTATTATATAGAGATATGACTTGAGTATTATATCGTGCTAAGAGATGTTAGAGAGCTGACAATTGTGAGTGGATATTAACTTTTTTCCTTTCCTTGTGAATTCGTAAACTCTCTAAATTCGCTTGCCAATTATCTTAATGCTAGAGAGAATGAAAGGAAGATTGCCATAAAGTTAGATCAGATGGTTAAAGATCAAAATTATTGCTCACTGGCACTTTCGGTCGTGGAACGATAAATATAAACAGCAGCTGTCCACATAATGACTATATTCCTCAACTTTTCATAAAGTGATGGTAAGAGATCCTAGACAAAGTCGGCCTAATTAGCTCCTAATTTATAGGCTTAGCTAGTAGACCTTTTTCTTAAAAATATACGTATGAAAATTTTAAAATAAATGAAAAGGAAGGTTCTTCCAAAAGTTCCATGGACAGTTAATATAATAGGACAATATAATTGTACAGATGTGGCTCACATAAGCTATGGAGGGGTCATGTACACCACACACTTTGTCAAATGAATATTGGAAAGATTAAAAGAAGAGCATGCGGTTTCTTCACGAAGCTGCAATGTAGATGCAGAGAGCATAAACTATAGTTTAAAGAGAAAAGAGAGATTAGTTAAAGGTGGTGGTGATCAGGGGGAAAATATACTAAGGGGCTAGGGCCAATTTCAATGATCCTAGCCATTTGCTTGGCATAACTCTTTTTTGTTAGTACATGATATGATATGCTGTTGCAGGTGGAAAACCCTCCGGCCAAAAGCGAGACTCCATGATGTGATCATCATTGCCACAGGGTCGGTCGTGATCATATGTCATGATGGTTATAGCTATATGCACCTGAGAAATTATGGCGTGGAATTTGGACCGTTGAAAATGGCGGATCCCATTCGGTCACACTGGATCCGACGATTCAGATTCACTTCGGTACATGTATCGGGTTCAATGAATAATTACACACGTACTACACTATGGAGGAACATTTTATGCTATTACTCTCAAAAGGGTAAATTTACTTTACCCCAAAATTTGAAGAATCCCAATTTTTGAAAATAGGCTAAATCGCAATAAGAATTCTAACCCTTTCATCACTTCTTAAATTTCTCTCCATCTTTTTAGGTTATCAAATAAGTGGTTCCCTTTTGAAATCATATGAAATATATCCCCAATCTAGAGTCCCTCCAAAAACTAAAAGTTAATTACCCTTTTGCCTTGTTTAGCATAAGGTATTTGCAAAATATCCATTAAGGCCAAAATTTCTTTATACAAAAACCTAACTAATTATTTTTTTTACAAATATAACTAGAAAACTATAAAAATAAAGACAGGCCGGTATAAAGCCGTGTACATATTTTCCAACTTAAAAGATAAAAGCGAAGAAGGGGTGGAAGAAAATCGCACGAAAAACAAAAAAATAAAAGTAGGAGCATAATTAAAATTCAGAAAGCAATCTAAAGAAACATTCCCTCTCAGAAAATCGTGTTAAAGGACCCGGATAGATTGGAAATGGAATTGAGAAGTGAGAAGTTGACTATTGTCTTGACGGGATTAAAATGTGGCGGGACAAAATCGAAACCCCTTTAAAAAAAAGTTGAGATTTATTTTCTTATCTGGCCAAGTTTCAACTAAAAAAAAAAAAGAGACAATCCAAAGGGGAAAAGAAGAAAGAAAAAAAAGAATAATCAACTCTAGCAAAAAAACCAGAAAGTAAAGAGAAAAGGTGACCCTTTCTTTTTATCTGCCTCTGAAAGCGACGAGGGCGAACACTGCACTTGACACGCGTGTATCATCCAGCTCTAGCCAGACGTGTAGCAATCACAAGTCCAGCTCACGTTCTTGTTCTTGATGATATAGTCCGTCGCTTGTGCGAGTGATCGAGTTCGTGCGTACAAATGATTTGGTCTTATCACAGAAAAAACCGATCGTTTTTTTGTGTAGCTTAGCCCTTAGGCATCATCATCATTGGAGTTAAAGCACAGCCCACAGGGAGACAGACAGGCCTTCAGGATTCCTGCGATTTTGCTCCAGGAAAAGGACTCCCTTTTCGCAATCTTTCACCGAAAAGCGCTTGAAAAATGCATGCACACACGCACAATCCCCCCCTCCCTCCTGTTTTCCTTGACTTTTCTCTTTCTGGGGACCAAGATTGAGAAATGAAGCACATTCTCATTATAAAAAAAAAAGAGAGTAAAAAGATTCCCATTAAAGTCTGAACAGAGGGGACTCCAAAGTCATCACCACCTGCCTTTAATTCCTCCTGCATGGCTTCGTGTGACTCCTCTCCACACTCCTCCTCCACCTTTCTCTTCACTTCTCCACAAACACACTCACAGAGAGAGAGAGAGAGAGAGAGAGAGAGAGAGAGAGAGTTAAAGCTGAGTAGTCAATCAATGAAGGAAACATGAGCTTTGGTGGATCAAGGCCAAAAGGGTCCGCTTCTTGAAAGAACAGCATTAGATTCTTGTTTGTTGGTCGACCCAGAATTTGTGGAGGAGAATTTCATCTCGTCGGTGGAGTATTGTGAAGAAGAGTCGAGGTTATCGTTTTTGTTGCCATTATCGCTTCTCTTTCTGTTAGAACTTTCTTTGTAAAAAGTTGGGGAAGAGAAGAGATGGGCGTCGTGACAGTGGGTGAACTGAAGCCCAGCATTTCGGGGAAGAGGTCGTTTCGTCCAAGTTCCAGCGTGCGCCATGCTTCTGAATGGTATAACTCCTTTTGTTTTCCCTCCTTCCTCAACTATCGTGTCGTCTAGCAATTCCTGGGGCGTTTTAAGATTATCTTTTTGATGGAGTTGCCTCTGGAGTCTGCTTTTTATCTGCAGTACATAAATGCTTCGAGTGCATAAGATTGAGGAAAGATTTTGTGCACTTCCAAGTTGATTCACAAAACCGGGTTCTTGTAAGAATACAGAACAGTTAAGGCCGCAGAACAAGGCAGACCGAATTTCCAGCATCGTGGAAAATTATCAACTGTTCTTTTCTCTCTTCTTTTGTTTTTTTTTTTGCGCGCGACAGCATCACGAGATTCGGTTGATAAAACGTCCATGTCTTGTCCCTGTCTATTCCCATGTTGTGAACTGTGATTGTCAACATTTTGTAGACCAATTAACTTATTCGAGGACCGACTCTCCCCATGCCCTCGAGCTTAGTACGGACTCCGACTTCGTTGTACAAGTACTGTTTGCTTGAACATGACGAAGCTCCTGGATTCACACACTTGCACATCCGATTTATCGGAACGAAATCCACAAGGGACCCACGTCTGGATCATATCTAAATCTGTTTTAAGTTTGATTCCATTTTTACCATCACTATTTGCTTTCGTCTTGCCTCCCTTGTTGTCTCATGTCGATCAATTATAGGGTCGGTCATTCACTGACCTGACCGATTCAGGTCGAATCATCGGTTCATGGTGGACCCTGATTTTTAAAGATTCAATGAGTTAATTCTGTATAAGTTGAGTTCTTGTCGAAATAATACTAACATGAACGGCCGATAAAATGGCAATACAGGCTTATAACAGCAGAAGTTGCTGCATGGCTTTTGAATTATTGGCCCTCCCAGAAATGTATGCAAAAAATTGAGCCTGCAATAGATTCACACTTCTGGGCTTCTATCTCACCTAATGTTTACTTGCAGGCCGATATCCGATGTTTCTAGCGATCTCACTGTGGAAGTAGGAACATCGAACTTTGCTCTCCACAAGGTATGGAAAGCCTATTTCGGTGTAAAAGAATTTCCTTTATTGTATTTTTTGTCTTTTCACTTTCTCTCTTTCCATTTAGAGAGAAAAGGGCGCTTATTGTTTGAATTTGATCCTTTAAACGCCTAGCTGTTGCAGCTTGTCTGCAATCAAGTAAGTATCAATCCGTATCGGCTGGTTAACCAAGAAAATTCTGTATTACCATCACTCGTTAATCACACGATTATGCATAACAATTCCAGAGAAGAAAGATGTTAACTACTATGCCTGAGCACATTCAGTTCAAACTCCATGTGGCTTTAATTCCTTTTCTTGTTTAAATTTGCCTACTCACAGATTTGACTCTTTTGCAGTTTCCTCTCGTTTCTCGTAGTGGACGAATCCGGAAAATATTGTTGGAAGCGAAGGACCCCAAAATCTGCAGGATAAATCTCACCGCTGTCCCGGGAGGTGCAGAGGCGTTTGAGCTCGCTGCAAAGTTCTGTTACGGCATAAACGTCGACATTGCATTAGCAAACATTGCTTCGCTGCGATGCATTGCTCACTACCTGGAAATGACCGAGGAATTCGCCGATAAGAACCTAGAATCTCGAGCAGAAGCATATATCAAGGACACCGTGCTTCCCAACATATCCCACTCGATCTCGGTGCTCCATCAGTGTGGGACGCTCTTGCCAGTAGCAGAGGACATAAACCTCGTCTCACGCCTCATAAATGCAATCGCGAGTAATGCCTGCAAAGAGCAGCTCACCTCCGGCCTCTCCAAGCTCGACCACAACTTCCAGGGAAAAGTGATGGAGCCAGAAACGCCTACCGATTGGTGGGGCAAATCGCTCGTTGTGCTTAATCTGGATTTCTTCCAGCGTGTCCTATCCGCAGTCAAGTCAAAGGGGCTGAAACAGGACATGATCAGCAAAATTCTGATCAACTACGCACAAACTTCTCTTCAAGGCCTTTTGGCTAGAGATCCGAACGTGATGAAAGGAAGCCTACCGGATTTAGACTTGATAAAGAAGCAAAAAGTCATGGTGGAAGCAATTGTTAGTTTGCTTCCTACGCAGTCGAGGAAGAGTCCCGTTCCAATGGGGTTCTTGTCGAGCTTGCTAAAAGCTGCGATTGGATCATCGGCCTCTATTTCGTGCAGATCCGATCTGGAGAGGAGAATTGGCCTTCAACTCGACCAGGCAATTCTGGAAGACATCCTCATTCCCGCCACTTCACATGGGAACAGCCACAGCATCACTATGTACGACACTGACTTGGTCTTGAGGATTTTCGCAATCTTTCTGAACTTAGATGAGGACGAGGATGAGGACAATCATTTGAGAGATGAAAGCGAAATGGTTTACGACTTTGACAGCCCCGGATCTCCTAAACAGAGTTCGATTCTTAAGGTGTCCAAGCTGTTGGACAACTATCTCACTGAAGTAGCGGTGGACTCAAACTTGTCGCCGTCCAAGTTCATAGCTTTGACAGAGTTGCTACCGGACCACGCTCGTGTAGTGAGCGATGGACTTTACCGAGCTGTGGACATCTTTCTGAAGGTGACCCTCTGTTTGTCTGTGTGCATGTCGCGAGTGCAGATGATAAGTTACTCATTTCATTGAGGCCAAAATTCGACCCTTTGTCTAACAGGTACACCCAAACATCAAGGACTCGGAGCGCTACCGCCTGTGCAAAACCATCGATTGCCAAAAACTATCTCAAGAAGCCTGCAGCCACGCAGCGCAGAACGAGAGGTTGCCTGTGCAGATGGCGGTTCAAGTGCTGTACTTTGAGCAGATCCGTCTCAGGAATGCCATGAATGGAGGCCACAACCAATTCTTCTTTGGATCGCTCCAGGGCCAGTTTCCTCAGCGTTCCGGAAGCGGGGCCGGGAGCGGAGCCATATCTCCAAGAGACAACTATGCATCGGTGAGGCGAGAAAACCGAGAGCTGAAGCTCGAGGTTGCAAGAATGAGAATGAGGCTGACCGACTTGGAAAAAGACCACGTGTCAATGAAGCAGGAACTTATAAGGTCCCATCCCGGTAACAAGCTCTTCAAATCATTCACCAAGAAGTTGAGCAAGCTGCATTCTTTGTTTCGGTTAAGTGCGATCAAGCCATTAGGAGGGAAGGGCAACTCCGAGTCGCGGTTCTTGTTTCAGAAGCGGAGGCGGCACTCGGTTTCTTGAATTATGTAAAGGGTGTGTGAATAGTGAGTGAATGTATAGTATGATAGCTAGTGGGGTTTTTGTGTAGTGTCATGCTGATCATTTTGATAATTGGCTTTGCTTTGCTGTTATGTGATCATTCTTGTCGACAGTTCTCTGAGAGTAAGCACTTGAATCTTACACATGTGACCAAGAAAAGAAATGCTCTGGGTCGTGACATCGACATGAACTGATCTTCAATGTTCGAAACTACTCGATTCGACAAATGAAGGCTCACTTTTGATGTCTAATCCTCAATCCTCAAGAGTAAACTGTTATTCTTACAATGCCTTAAATCTCTTGATCCCTCCTTTTTTGACTTTTGACCTCATTTTCTATATCTACTGCTACGTTTCTGGATACAGATACCTGAGAGTTAAACAGAGAGACAAAAAGGCGCAATCATCGACATAAAGCAAGAAAAGACGCAGTGCATTGAAACAACTGGATATTAGGAAAGTGAAAGTACATGCTAATGGGAATGTTTAAGCGAGCACGCGTGATTATATTAGACAAATAAAGTGTTGATGACGTGATGTCTGTGTTCTCCACTAATTTCGGTCTGCTAAAGATCATGTTTGATTTTAATTCAAAAAAAATTGTCGGCCAAGCCACATTTTGTGAGTTAAAGCATCACAATTAGGCAAAGAGCCGAAACTTTAGTGGCTGGCATTTGTTCTTGTATTCATCACTTGGTCTGTGAAGGAGCACCTGTTTTCTAATATTTCTAGCAATCTGACGAGTCTTCAGATGTGCAAAACTCGCATGTTCAATGAATACGTTGAAATCAGTGTATTCTTTGAGTTGAAAATCACATACAGTAATTAACTATCGCCTAAACTGAATTTAGAGAAAAGTATTACTCAACTACACTGCAAAAAAGTGTAATTTCATAACTTCGAACACACATAAGGTTAAGTTCCAACCTCTGTTCACATCGGCTGTTTCGATACTCAGAATGGAACACAAAAACCTATTGCTGCTGAAAAAGTAACCACACATTGACCATCAACGCATTTCAACTATTTTTCTTCAATGAAGGTACTTCCCTTCACTATCTCATTAGGTCGAGACCACAGAATTATAGTGCTCTCCAAGCCCATATGCGTGCCTGTGGTAAGAGAGCATGATGCTCGAATTGGACGAGCCACTTCTGCCATCAGACTGATATTCCTTCCCCATCTCCACATCAGGGAATGATCCGGAAAAGATTTTTATGTGTTTTTTAAGACAGTGACTTAGCGCACCGAGCTCTAGCTGTCCGCCCCATACAGCTGTCGACTCCACTTCTTTGCAGTAATTCTCGAATTTCTCCGCTGCTGACTTATCAGTATCTCCCTCGACCGTATTTTCGGATAAGAAAAATGGGAGAAACTCCGAAGCGTGTTCCCTCATGTAGGCAGCGATCATTTCTCTAAGCTCTTGGTATGTGTAAGGAGAAGAACCTCCAGAGAGTAAGGCCAATTGATTTTCCACGGCCCGGTACAGGCAGTGCCCATCTGGCTTTATCTCATTAACAGTCAATCCAAGGGGTTCAAGCTTCTTCTCCAACTTCTCGTTTTCTAGCATCCGGTCGCTCACGATATTCTGCTGCTCTTCTTGAATCCTCTGCTCTCTAGCTGCTTCTTGCTGAGCTCTTTTCTCCCGTCTCTTCAAGCTCTTGCTCGGTTTTGAATGTTCAGACTGGCTGGCAACAGAAACCCCAGCTATGGCCTTCACCAAATTGTCGAGATTGCCTTTAACATTTCCATTAGCCCCATCGTAGCCTAATGAAGCAAGTTCTTCAGCTTGTCTTTCCTTGAGTTTAGTGGAGAGCCTAGAGATTTCTTCCTCCACTTGCTTCTTCTTAGCTTTTTGTTCAGCTTTGCTGCCCTTTGCAGCTGCCTTTTTCAGTTCAGTTTCCTTGTTTTGTAGCTGTGACACCTCTTTCCTGCAACATTGTTCCCAGTCTTTATTGAAGCAAAATTTCAGGACGCATACACGTGGTGTGAACAATCAAGAAGAATCAGATCCTATTGGTTATTACAGCTCTAGCAAGAGCTACTGCGTTTGACGTCAAAACGAAACCAATCGGCACTTAATACTGCAACACAACCGCTTTTTGAAGGACTCATTGTGGCTATAAATGGAGCAACAAGCAACAAGTGTCATACTAAGGCTGACAATAAAATTTCCAACCAGGTTACAGAAGGCAATTTTGCATCGAATTCATAACCTTGTCCACTTCAAGTGTCAAAAAGGATCTAGGAATTAGATTCCAAATCAAGTCAAATGTCACAAATCTTAGACATACAAAATCTGCAAAAGAATAAAAGCATTCACCTAATCCTAAAATTGTTTGAAACTTGACTCAAAAAACAGAGCGTGCACAAATAACCTCATTTGCGGTTTTCACGTATCCAAACATGCACTCATACATACACAAATGCCTGCGCACTCATACAAACAAAGATATCAAGTACTCTCTCTCTCTCTCTCACACACACACACACACACACACACACACACACACACACACACACACACACTCTTGCTCACTCATACACACAAAGATTACTAGGAAATATCACCCCTTTCTATAAATCAATAAATATCAGGGATACTTATTCTGTCCATGACAGGTACCCGAATGTTTCACTTTCTTCGAGGTTAATGCCATGACTGTCATTAGCCACACCTATAGACAACACAGCTCAAATAATCCTATCTTTATTACTTGAAGTTAGTTTAAAAATTATAAACCATGTCTTTCAACCCAATTACAGCCTTTGTGTTGTGCAACAGCAATTGGCTAATTAAACTGGGCCAGAAAGTATGCAGTTCAAATTCAGGAAAAAACAAAAAACAAATTAATCTAATTTGATTGCCATGTTCCGTAAGGAAATGGGAGGATAAGAGACAACTGTTCCTCCATAAAAAACGGAGAAAACTAGACCACACCATTGCCTCAGAGCAAGATATACCAGTAGCTCATGCACAACAAATTCTAATGCGCGTGTGTATCCGGCAAAAGAAGGCGAAACGAAAAAAACACACACCTGTGCCTAGATAGCATTTCATCACGAGTTTCCTGTTTGCTTTCAGATACACTCTCCAATATTCCATCGGGCAGCTTCTCGTCAACTACTTCAGTCTGCTCCATTCGCGTACCCGCTAGTCCTGTATCAGAAACACAGGCAGTGATGGCAGGACTTCCCGTGGCCAACCTCGGAGAATCAAAAACCAACCAAATGCATAGATTCGCATTCCTAGAAACAGCATTACCGCTAGTGACAAAAGACAGCAGATGCAAAGCAATCTACCGGTACCCAATTCAAGAATGCACTCATAAACATGCGCTAGCCCATTCTCGACACACAAGCAACCCAAAGGTTTCAGGAAGATAGGAATACGTGCGTGCCCATGAGTGCGTTGTAGTGCTCAAAGAAGATCTTGATTTTGGACGCGTAGTCGAACATACAATCTCGAAAGTAACCCGATTTACGAACACAGATTGCCCAAGCTCGACCCAACAACACAAACCCATATCGCAACCCGAAAAAAGAACCAAGCGTTCCAATTTAACCAGCAAACAGTCATCAAAATCAATCCCCAGGCCGCCTTGCACCCACAAAAAGAGAGGCCAAGATAAGATACAAAAACCATACAAAACTTACAAGAAACACCGGAACCAACAAAGGTAAAAAAGATCAAGCTTCCGGGGGTTCACTCAGGCGAAGCTTCGACGCAGTGTCAAATGAATATCACATCATGTAGTACCTGCTGCTGCAGTCGATGATGGCTGGCTGGTCGCTGTGAAGTCCAGAGAGAGAGAGAGAGAGAGTGGGAAACGGAGGAAGAAGAGGCAGAGGAATTGAAGAGGAGGTTTCGTGTTTCATTCCTTTTTATTTTTTCTTTAATTCGGGTTAAATTATTATTATTATTTTATTTATATTTTTATCTCTGCGTATTTTGATTTATCAGCCGGGTCGGTGGCCGAACCCTAGTCTGTTGGGCTTGACCCGGCCCAAGCCCGGATGAGTATTACTTCTAAGCCCGAATGAGAATGGCTACCGGTTTATCTAATTCTTCCACGGTTTTTTGAAATTTACTTTTGACCTTGGAAAGTTATTGAACACTCGGCAAAAGTTCCTAACCAGATAAGAACTTTGCTGGTTTATCCAATTCTCACCCAAATCACATATTCAAAAGCTATCAAAACCCGTATTGAATTAGGAGTGATTTGGGTGATAACTATCAAAATCAAATCACATTTTTTAAAACTATCAAAATCCGAGTTGAATTAGGAAACATTTGCAGAACGGGCTATATATATATATATATGTATATGTCTATGTATTTAATTCTAACCCGAATCACACATATTCCAAAACTTCATACCATGGCCTCACTCAAAAAAGCTCCCGTCTTGTTCTATCTAGGAACATTCTCCGGCGAAACCACCCACGGATTCCTCGACCCCGTCACGGGGCGCCTCGATGTGGTGCGAATCCCCGAGCTCCAGTGTCAACTTGACTGTCTCGCCTCCAAGCACGGATGGCTCCTCCTCTCGTCGAGAGAGATCTCGTCCATCTTCCTCTTCAACCCGATAACCCGAGATCGAATCGACCTCCCTCGGCGTAACCGGCTTATAAGCGCGGGGACATTCACCGCGGCTCCCACGTCCTCGGATTGCACCGTCTTCATCATGAGCATGCCGATACACCCTCTCGACAATCGTATCATAATCGACACATTCACCGTCGGGTTGGACAGAAACTGGACCCGGCATGGCTTTAGCCATGTGAGTCCAGATTTCGACTCAACCTGGCAGGTAGTCTATGCAGAAGGCATCTTGTATTGTATGGACTTGAAGGGAAGATTAGGTACATTCAATGTTAAAGACGGCTCATGGAATGTCATCCCTTGCAAGGATAAGTCCATCAAGATATGGAAACTCCATCTAGTGGAACTCAAGGGAGAGATTTTTGCAGCCAAGAGAGGACGCCGCGGGATAGTACAAGAATTCTTCAAGTTGAAGGTTAGAGATGATTTGTCCGAGTGGGAGAAAGAGGAGGTCGCCGTCGACGTTACTTACTGCTTGGGTGATTGTGGCTCGATGGCGATGCCGGAACAAAATCCAAGAGAGGGAGAGAAGATGAAGCTGATGGTCGCCAGTCACGAGCCGAAGTTGGACGGATCATGCTGCTCGAAATCGATTCGTGAGAATGATTTGTTTGGTAGTGCTTACCATCGAGTTTGGATTTGAGAAGAGGTCTTTAGATGCTTGTCCTAGGAGTCAGAATAGCTGTTTTTTACACGAGTTACAATTACAATGTCCTGATTTTCCTTATATCTGTTCTCCAATTTTCGCTAAATTTGATCTGCTTAGTTTCTCAGGATAGAACTGTGCCGACCGTGCAAATGCACCTGAATCGTCCATACGTCCATGTCTAAATGATTAGCTTGATCTACATTTACACTAACATAAAAAAGAACAACCTTTCCCTCATTAAATTTTCTCATTATTCCAAGTTCTTCAAGGCCCTCCCCTCTAGAGTAACCACACCTGCGTACATCCTAATCTACTGATGTACACTTGACGTACTTCATGCGCACAAACTAGCTTTGACGAAGGTGTTCGACAATCGAAATGGACATAGACACCACTATGAATCTTTAAAACGACTAAGTTAGACACAAACTTCTGCACCGGTATGTGATGAAAAGGCTGGCAAGCCTCTCCAGCACTGGGAGAAACACCAACTATTTGCACTTCATTAGCGGGGGTCATGTTCCTTCATATGTCCTTCAGGTCCACCTGAACAGAAAAGCTCCATTTCGTAATGCAGTCAATCTATGTGATATGATGAGATTCAAGCATTACCTCGGTTCTCTCCTCGAAGTTGTGGCGGTAGCAGTGTAGGATGAGCTTCCAATTTCCTTTGCCAAACCTAGATTGCAAAAACAATATAACAATGACATACTGCGATGTTTTGACCAACTCGGGACGCAAAGCACATGACACCACTTCAACACAAAAGCACCCAAAAGTCTATGCACAACAAATATCAACAATGAAACCCTCATGCTGTTAATAGACACTGCGCAAATCAACATTGTACCTCTGGACACCATTCCTCAAAGTTTCTTCTTCCTCCAAACTCCATCTCTTTACTTTTCTACGCCCAGAAACTTTCAAACTTCGAGTCAATGGCTTCCTCAATGGAGAAACAGCGCTTCTTCTTGGGCTGGGTAACAGAAGCCTACCTGAGTAATCCGAAGGTTCTTCAGGTGAGCCATCTATTGAATCGTCCGACTGCAGAAATGATCATTCTCAGACATAATATGAGCGACTACCATCATATTGTCAAAACAAACAAACTAAATTTCCCCAAAAGACCATCGTATATAAGACACAGCACACTACTGCATCTGCAAGAGTTAACCAACGCTAAGAGTGCTTACTTTCCATCTTTACGGCTGCACTTCATTGCTTCAAGAATCAAGTAAATGATTTACATGGCTCCGTGATGCCCTCATTTTTATGCCGGCCAACTTAACAAATATAGTTCTAAATTATCCACAGAGGATTAAACTTTCAGCAGATCAAAGCTACCACCACCTTTGTCTTAACCAATGTAAAATGAAGAAATCCTACAACAGATAAACAAAATCTCCAAACAGATCAGAAATCATACGGAGAGGGAAAGAACGGGAAATGACATACTGATGTCTGAAGCAGCAGTATTAAGGCTGCTTTGGTAAAGAAATGGCTTTCTTCAAAGACTGAATCAATTGAAGAACCACAAATACTTCTCATAAACCTGCTAACCAGCAAGCTTTTTCCTACGAGAGATGTGTAGCTTCTCAACCAAACGATCAACTAAGAGAATGAGATGATACACGGATCAGAAGGACCACTGACCACATATGTACCGTAATTTGCATGCCTCACGAATTCGACATTGCTTGCTAAAATGTCCCCTGTTAACCATAACTACATAGCTTTGCAGTAGAGATAGCTTGGCACCGATCGATTCGGAGTTATTATCATTCAAGTACCGGTCTGTTTGGGCTACAACAGAGAAATTAATACTTGAAATGGCAAAATAGGAATGAAGCTTGAGAAACAGTTCACAAGTTTGCCTCCAAAGATTAACTGGTCAATCTTCTCTTCGTAATTCATAGTTTATTGAGAGATCGGAGAGATTCCGATTGACTTCCATTGGGTGTTCATCAGTTTCTGAATGTATTAACTTTTTCAAGCATTCCTCTTTATTTTGCATCGTTTCCATGTACAGGGATTTTGTTATTTTTCCACTGAACTAATTACTGCTTACCAAACAAAGGCGTTCCACCTAAATTCTAAAATAACCCTGCAAACAGCATGTCTGCTCCATACATCATACTTCCTTTTGTCTCGAGGTGAGAATTTTCCAAGTTTAGTTTCTATACAGAGGTTCAGTTAGGAATTTCATAACAAAAAATGCTTCATAAATTTTACAAAAGTGGGTAGAAAGAAAGAAAGGAGCGGTTCAGCATCCCTGTGTTTGATAGCACATCATCTCCACTATCACAGAGGTGACCTGAAACGATATTATTACGTTTAAGGTTAATACCACGAAAAATTCCAACTAGTACATTTATGATAAAATTATCCAAAACTAATTTTTTGACCACCAAAACCCCAAACTGGTACGTCTGTGACAATTTTATCTCAAACTGATATATTTGTGACAAATTTACTCTCCGTTAGTTTCCGTTAAATTGGATTAATATCACGAAAAATCACAAATTGGTATATCTGTGACAAACGGAGGGTAAAACCCTAAACTTGTACATCCATCAACTTTCACGTATCATCTAACTCGACAATTTGACGGTAAAACTTAACGGAAATTAATTAAGGATAAATTTGTCATAGTGTACCGGTTTGGGGTTTTTGATTGCCATAAGTGTATCGGTTTAGGATTTTTCGTTGTATTAACCCTTATGTTCAAGATTCACTAATTTTTGATAGCTTTAAATTTACTTTTCACCTTGAACAGTAATTGAACTCTCAATAAAAGTTCCTAAAGCACAGGAAAGCTATCCTGGTTAATTATGAAAAGTTATTAACCAAAGTCAGAAAATTGTTTTCTATGAAATTAATAAATATTTTCGACTGGCTTTCTTAAATGGAAAGTTGCGGATCTTGTGTAAAAGTCAATAACTGTTGATATAGTTTTAAATTTACTTTAAGACTTGAAAAATTATCAAACACGTGGATAATCATAATCATAAGTATATTAATAACCAGTAAAAAAATAAATAAAAGTTGATATAACTGACAAGAATATCTTGACAAGTTATCATTACATATTAGATTAATGTTGATTTGTTGATAATATGACAACTGGCATGTTACTTACCTCGATATGCTTGCTTCAATTTTTGAAATATCTTCAAAACCCTTCACTAGTTTTGGTTCGAAAATCTGTTCAACTAAACAAAGAACGGAAACTAATTAAAACCCGTGTTGAGTTAGGAAATATTTGGAGAACGTAATATGTGATTTGGTCGATAATTATCAAAACCAAATCACAAATTTTAAAACTATCCAAATCCGAATTGAATTAGGAAACATTTGCGAAACCGCCTCTCTCTCTCTCTATAAATATATAATTCTCACCTAAATCACATATTCCAAAACTTCGTGCCATGGCCTCACTCAGAAAAACTCCCCTCTTGTTCTATCTAGGAACATTCTCCGGCGAAACCGCCCATGGATTCCTCGACCCGGTCACAGGGCACTTCAACGTGGTGCAAATCCCTGAGCTCGAGTGTCAAGTCGACTGTCTCGCCTCCAAGCACGGATGGCTCCTCCTCTCCTCGAGAGAGATCTCGTCCATCTTCCTCTTCAACCCGATAACCCGAGATCGAATCGACCTCCCTTGGCGTAACCGGCTTATAAGCGCCGGGACATTCACCGCGGCTCCTACGTCCTCGGATTGCACCGTCTTCATCATGAGCATGCCGATACACCCTCTCAACAATCGAATCATAATCGACACATTCACCGTCGGGTCGGACAAAAACTGGACCCGGCATGGTTTTAGCCATGTAAATCCAGATTTCGACTCAACCTGGCAGGCAGTCTATGCAGCAGGCAGCTTGTATTGCATGGACTTGAAGGGAAGAGTAGGTACATTCAATGTCAAAGATGGCACATGGAATGTCATCCCTTGCAAGGATAAGTCCATCAAGATTTGGAAACTCCATTTATTGGAATTCAATGGAGAGATCTTTGCGGCCAAGAGAGGATGCTTTGGAAGTGTGGAGGAATTGTTTAAGTTGAAGGTTAGAGATGATTTGTCCGAATGGGAGAAAGAGGACGTCAACAGGGACGACGACGATGTTACTTACTGCTTGGGAGATTATGGCTCAATGGCGACGCGGAACCTAAATCGGAGAGACAATAAGAAGCTGATCGTCGCCAGTCACGGGCCGAAGTTCGACGGATCATGTTGCTCGAAATCGATTTGTGAGAGTGATTTGTTTAGTTGTGCTTACGATCGAGTTTGGATTTGAGAAGAGGTCTTTAGATGCTTGTCCCAGTAGTCAGACTCAGAATACTTCTGCTGTTATTATTTTTGTTAAATATTTACATGAGTTACAATGTCCTGATTTTCCGAATATAAATTCTCCAAGTTTCGCTGAATTTTTCTCTGCTTAGTTTCTCGGGAGGGCCGAGCATTCCGATGGAACTGTGCCGACCATGCAAAGGAAATACAATCTAAATAGGTTTTCTAATTTGAATCTTTTTCCAAATTTGTGTAGATTTCATATTTTGAATACAATTCTTTCGTATATATAAGAAGTTGACCTTTTTCATGAATTGCATCAAAGAGGGTGCTGCTTCTTCGCAAGAAATTTATGAATTCCTTTATAAGATTAAGATATTATTCCTTAAGAGATTACGAAGATCCCACCCATTAAATCACATAAATCCCATGGTATCCGATTTATTTTATTGCTCTGTTTATTTTACTATTCGATCTCTTACTGTCCGCAACAATATATTACTTTATAATTCTGTCGAATTAGATTTCAATCAACCTGATTCTACCCCTAAAGCTGAGGATACAGAATTTCTTCGTGGGCTAAAAAAATCAAGTTGGCGTTTTTTTTTATAGAAAATAAAACTATTGATCCTATTTGTTGGAACCAAAGAAAAGAACAGGAATGCCAATTCCCTTCGATACGCCGGAGTGATGTAAATTTACACTAACATAAAAGAAAACCAACTTTCTCTCATTAAAGTTTCTCACTATTCCAATCTCTTCAAGGCCCTCGAGAGTAACTACACCTGCGTACGTTCTATTCTACTAATGCCCACTTGACGTGCTTCGCTGCGCACAAACTAGCTTAACAGGAAGGTTCTCAACAATCGAAATGGACATAGACACTACTATGAATGTGTTAAAACGACTAAGTTAGACACAAACTTCTGCACCGGCACGCAAGCCCTCTCCCACACTGGGAGAAACACCAATTATTTGCACTTCAGTAGCGGGTCATGTTCCTCCATTTGTCCTTCAGGTCCACCTGAACAGATAAAAGCTCCATTTCGTAATGCAGTCAATCCATCATATGATGAGATTCAAGCATTACCTCGGTTCTCTCCTCGAAGATGTGGCGGTAGCAGTGTAGGATGAGCTTCCAATTTCCTTTGCCAAACCTAGATTGCAAGAACAATATAACGATGAGATGCCGTGATGTTTTGACCAACTTGGGACTCAAAGCACATGACACCACTTCCACACAAAAGCACCCAAAAGTCAATGCACAATAAATATCAACAATGAAACCCTCATGCTGTTAATAGGTACTGCAAAAATTAACATTGTACCTCTGGACACCGTTCCTCAAAGTTTCTTCTTCCTCCAAACTCCATCTCTTTACTTTTCTCCGTCCAGAAACTTTCAAACTCCGAGTCAATGGCTTCTTCAATGGAGAAACAGCACTTCTTTTTGGGCTGGGTAACTGAAGCCTGTCTGAGTTACCGGAAGGTTCTTCGGGTGAGCCATCTATCGAATCGTGCCACTAGAAAATAATCATTTTCAAACATAATATGAGCTACTTCTATCATATCGTCACCGCAGAGCACTAAATTTCACCAAAAGACCATAAAAAAGGAGCATTGGGCATCAGTACACTTTTGCATCTGCAAGAGTTAATCAGCATTAAGAGTGCTTACATTCCATTTTTACGGCTATACTTCATTGCTTCTGGAATCAAATAAATGATTAGATATACTTTTAGATTGACATGGCTCCATGATGCCCTAATTTTTATGCCGGCCAACTTACAAATATAGTTCTAAATTAATCCACAGAGGATTAAAATTTCAGCAGATCAAAGCTATCACCACCTTTGTCTTCATCAATGTAAGATGAAGAAATTCTACAACAGCTAAGCAAAATCTCCAAAAAGATCAAGAGTAATATGAAGAAGGAAAGAACAGGACATGATATACTGATGTGCATAGCCGCAGTATTGAGGCTGCTTCGGTAAAGAAATGGCTTTCTTCAAAGATTGACTCAATTGAAGAGCCAGCAAGCATTGAGAGATGTATAGCTCCTTGATCAAACGCTCAACTGAGAGAATGTGATGATAGAAGGATCAGAAGCACCACTAACTACACACGTACCATAATTTGCATGCCTCACAAATTCGACATTACTTGCTAAAATGTCCCCTGTTAACCATTATTACATTATTTTGCAGTAGAGATAGCTCAGCACCAACCGATTCAGAGTTATTATCCTTAAAGTATCGGTGTGTTTGGGCTAAAACAGAGATATTAATAATTTAGTACAAATGCTTTGATTGGCAAAAAAGGAATGAAGCTTGAGAAGAAGTTCATAAGTTTGCCTCCTAAAATGAACTCGTCAATCTTCGATTCCTAATTCTCAGTTTATTGAGAAATTAGACTTCCATTTGGCGTGTCTCAATTGACGAATGCTTTAACTTTTTCTAGTGCTCCTCTTTCTTTTGCATCGTTTCCATGTACTGGGATTTATTATTTTCCACTAAACTAATTACTACTTACCAAACAAAGGCACTCCACTTAAATTCTAAAACAACCCTGTACACATCATGTCTGCACCATACATCATACTTCCTTTGTCCCAAGATGAAACTTTTCCAAGCTAAGTTTCTATATAGAGGTTCAATTGATGTATTGTAGGTAGGAATTTTATAACTAAAAATGCTTAATAAAAGTTACAAAAGTGGGTTGAAAGAGGAAAGGGGCAGTTCAGCATCCTATGTGTTTGATAGCACTTCATTTCCATCTATCACAGAGATGACGAGCAAGAATGATCCTAAATCTAATGCAGCATGTATGTTTGCATAGTCTAAAAACATTCTTATGACAGATAGATGTACTATTCTTGAATCTGTGGAGACTTTTGAGTCTCTATAACCAAAAAAAAGTTACAAAAGATTGAAAGACCTTTGTTCTTCATGCTTTACTAATTATCTTCACAACCCGGAAGTGAACATTTTCCTCTTCTCACACCTAGAAGCATACGCCCATTCTTTTAGCTAATAACAAAATGAAGCATTAATGTATATATGCAAGGCAAATGCTGGCAAAGTATCTTACACAAAGGAAGAGCTATTTATTTAGACAGACCAATGCCGACACCAACACTTAGTTTCGATAACAAATTAAGTTGCATAATTGTTATGCGATTCAAGCCATAACTCTCACGTGTGAAGGAGACAGAGACATGGAGAGAAAAGCACACGTTCGCACATACACATAAAAATGACACAAAAAAAAGAAGTAAAAAGAGGCGAAGCAAAATGCAACCATAACCAGATTTAAATACCTCATAGGTATGAGCAGAGCTATTCCTTTCAAACAAACTAGGTCTACACTGGTTATTCTGATGGCTGGTTGACTGGTTAACACGATTTACTTCGCCACCTGGAACAGGCCCAACATTCTGGTCGGCGGAGGCATCGGATGCATTAACATCTTCCCTAATCTGTGCTTCTGCACATTCAAAATTCGTAGATGATCCGGCAGCGTTATGCACAAGGGAGTCGGCCAATCGTATCGCATCAGGAAGTGGGTCCGTGACCACTGCTCGCAGCTCCAGAGAACTAGACTTTAGCGCTTCTTGAACTCTATTAAAATCAGGTGTAGGGAGCGTATCATATTCGCTCCGCGATGCATCTCTTCCGGTTTCCTCATTATTGGCAATGATCTTAACTCCCCCTTTGGATCGCCTATGGCGGGCAAGCTGCTTAGTTGTGATCAATCCCTCATCCAGCTTTGATGTTTCTAAGGAAACCAACTTCATACGTTACGAAAAACCCAATTCACCAACTTGTTTCTAATGCTCCAATAACAATCAGCTAGAAGAGAAAAGATATTATCACAAAAGCACAAGCCAAAAAACACTTGAATGTAGCAGGGCAACTAAATGCAAAAGAACAAACCAGGCATTTTCCCATCATCTTCTATCCTTGCAGGTGGACTTTCGCTAATCAGATCTGCACTCGCTCTGATGCCGGGCAAATCATTGCGTTCACCTGCACGAGCTTCCGCTTCAAACAGTTCTCTGCACGGATTAGCCTCGGCCATCCGCCCCGCCGCCACTTCAAGGAAAGAAGGTCCCGTCCTCTCCCACGCCTCGCCCAAATAAGCCCTAATCGACCTAAAAGCATCACCTCTCGTGTTCATCGCCAGCAGATCCTTGCGCTCGGCCCCATCTTGCATTGCCGCCTCGACGCGGAGCCTCCACCGGAGCAACTCCGGCGAGAGGAGCCCGCTCTTGGCCGCCGACTCATCCATCTTCCGAACCCTACCCCGCCAGATCCTCTCCACGGCGCGGAAATACTCGCCCCGCTCGTCCACCCGCCCGTGCAGGAACCTGACGGTGCAATCCACGGCGACGGAGCGGTACGCCTCCGGCATGGCCTCGGAGACGGGTTGGCCGGCGCCGTCCATCCTGTCGAGCTCCTCGATGACTTCGAGGGCGTCGAGGGTCTTCTCGGAGACGGAAGCGGCATCGATTTCGGACTGGATGGAGCGGAGGAGGACGGATTTCTTGAGACGGAGGTCGGAGTCCCGGAGGGGGAGGGCGGAGAGGGCGAGCTTGACGGAGCGGTCGTCGAGGAGGGGCTGGCGGAGGAGGAACTCGAGCATCCACCGAGAGATGTCGGGGTCGATCTCCATGACGGAAAATGGGAGGAAGAAGAAGCTGCGGTACCTGCAGCGACTGTCGAACTGGAGAAGGAGAAAGAAAAAAAAAAAACAGTGATATATTCACTAGAAGAAGGTAAATCCTAAAATTTGTCGTCAAAATGCGACTGAATTCTAAAATTTGTAAAAAGTACAATTAAATTTTAAATTTTTTTTTTTTTTTTTTTTTTTTTTCTTTTCTTTTTCTTTTTTTTTCTTCTTTCCCTCCGGCCATCAGGCCATTGCCGGCCGGAGGGCCGGCCTCAGGCGGAGGCGGCCGGGTGCGAGGGCGACCCTTGCCCGACCACGGGTCGCCCTCACCGCGCCGGCGAGGGCCGCCCTTGCTGCTGTTGGGCGGGCAAGGCGACCGCCGCGATCCGGCGAGATCACCGTGGTCGGGCGAGGTCGCCCTAGCCTCGCCAGGGCCGCCTCCGCCCGAGGCCGGCGACCTCCGCCGGCCCCGACAATGGCCGCGGAGGGAAAGGAGAGAAAAAAAAAAAAGAGGAAAAGGTAAAGAAAAAACAAAAAAAAGAAAAATATATAAAAATACTGTTCGTTCACGATTAACCAGCGGATCGCTTACGCAAGGTATTTTGCCGCCCGGCACTGCACTTTATTTGATACTTTTTGGGGACTTTTACCAATTTGGCACTAAGTCACTGGGACCCCATTTTGAAAAATGGCCACTTTGGACCCCAAATTGGAATTTTCCCCTATAAGAAGTCCTAAAATTTATCATCAAAGTCGATTGAATCCTCAAAAGGCAATCAAGTTTTAAAATTTATCGAATTGATTTAAATGAGTCCTAAAATTAACACCGTCAAATTAACTAACGAAAAATACTGACATGATTTATTTTAATATTTTCTCTCTCTTACGTGGCGATGATGTGACTAAAACAATATCGTTTTAGCCCAAATTTGATTTTTAATATTACTTTTATTTAAATAAGCTAAAATTATAAAATATAAAAAAGGAGGAGGACAGGAGGAGGAGGAGGAGGGCTTCCGCCATGGCCCTACCATTGTTGGGAGGGCCTGCGGTGAGGGTGGGGGGACGGTAGGCGAGGCATCGCCGAGCCCCGGCTAGGGGCTGGCGACCCTTGCCTAGACTTAGCCGAGGGTCACCAATGGCGGCCGACCCCGCCGGTGGCGTTCCTCACCCGATTTGGGCGAGGGCCATCGGAGGGTCGGCCGCCACCACATCTAGGCAACCCTCGCTCAATCTAGGGGAGGGCCTGTAGGCCCTTGCCTGTCATCAGCAAAGGTCGCCGGCCCCTAGCAAGGGCTCGGCGGCGGGGAGGGCAAGCCCTCCCTCCTTGCCTATCCTCCTCCTCCTTTTTTTTTTTAAAGCTTATTTTTTAAATTTAATTTAAATAATATTAATGTTAAAATAATGATTAAAAAAAGCCGCGTCATCGCCACGTGGGATAAAAAAAATAATGAAAAAGTCATGTTATTATTTTCCGTTAATCAAATTGGACGGTATTAACTTTAGGACTCGATTGAACCAATTTGACATGTTTTAGGACTCGATTGCACCTTTTGTAAGTTTTATGACTTAAATGCACTTTGGTGATAAGTTTTAGGACTTCTAGTGAACATATAAAAAAAAAAGGCTAGAGAAAGCAGACTTGTGATCGTTTTCTAAGGAAAATACGAAAGGAAAAAGTCAAATTGGGCCGGGCTTCATTGAAGAGAGGTCATTCTCGGCCCGTACACAAACCAGTTTCGTCTCCACCGTTACTTTCAGTGAAAATTACCAAAACAGTCATAAACCTATTGTAATTGTGTTAATTCAGTCCTGAACATTTTTTTTGTGCCAATTCAATCTTAAACCTTTTGTATTTGTGCCAATTTAGTTCGTCTGGCCAAATTTGGCTGGCCGGCACTGACGAAGACGCTGATCGGTGCCGGCCGACGTTAACGTGACAATTTTTAAATATTTTTTAACAATATTTTTTGATTTTTTTCTCTCTTTTTTTTTTTTCCTTATCTTTTTCCCCAGTCTGTCCGGCTAGAGGCTGAGGCCGGCGAGGCTCGCCCTCGCTGACCTCGTTGGTCCATAGCGAGGCCTCCCAAATCTGGCGAGACCTCTCGAGCCTTGCCATGGCTAGGCGAGGTCGAGCTCGCCTAGCGACGGCAAGGGCGAGCATCCCCGGCCTCAGCCTTTGGCCTATCCGACTGGGGTAGAAGATAGGAAAAAAAAGAGAAAGAGAGAAAAAATAAAAACAAAAACAAAATATACTTAAAAATTGCACACGTGGCCAAATAGTCGACACCTACGGCCACGTCCATGGCTGGTCAAAATTGACCAAATATGAATCGACACAAATATAAAAGGTTTATGACCTGAATTGGCATAAAAAAAAAAAAGATTCAGGATAAAATTGACATAATTACAATAGATTTATGACTATTTTGGTAATTTTCCCTTACTTTTCGTATGTTGCGAACTATGAGAGCACCTTAGCTTCGGCGTATTGCGCGCTTGATTCGTGTCCTACTCGTGACTGAGGATCGTACGAGCTGCATACTCCTTTGAACTGGGCCAACATCTGGGACTCAAATCGTGACCCTGCGTAAGCGGAGAAGTATCCTGGTTGAGGGGCACATTGATGTGGATTGGTTTGTCTTGTTGCATATCAAGAAAGCCAAGGGATTGCGGAAACTCTTGATTTAGTACCGTCGGAATGTTTTTGCTTGTATCGTCTGTAGTTGACAGTCGATTTGAAGCTCTAAAGAGCCTCAGCCTTAGAACCACCACAGCTAAAATGCAGAGGCAGCCGTATGTTGATTGGCATATATGCCGCGCTTTCTCGAAATTGAAATGAAGCGCATGATATATGCCCATAATCGATAAAATAACAAAACGATCTTTAAGAATTCAAGTAGGGTGAAAGAAGACTGCCACTTAATTACACAGGAAATCTTCCATTAGATCAGCAACAGTAGATTACATATGTAGAGACACAAAGAGATTTGGTAGATTAATTCTACATGCATTTTTATGCTCAGCAGCACTTCATTTAGGAGCTCTTTCTGGGCCTGATCTTGATCGGCAGGCCCATGGAGGGATAAGGACTGGGTTGGCGAGTGATGGTCTCCTCCGGGTGCAATTGCGACCACTCGTACCCCGTCACCAGGTTGTGCACCACCGTGAGCGCCTCCACTCTCGCAAACTCGTTGCCGATGCACATCCGGTTTCCACCCCCAAACGGCAAGTAGGTGAAGGGCGGGATCGGCCTCGACGGGCTCTCGAAGCGAGACGGTTCGAACTCGCTCGGTCTCTCGAATATGTCGCTATTCATATGCGTCCCGCATGCTACCCAATATACCTATTTGTCAATATATATATATATATATGAAAAGGTACATTTCTAAATTCAGATCATTACGAACGAACGATTATTGAAATTTGACAATAATTGAAAGCCATTGATTCAGTAGGTAAAAATGCTAAGTTTTCTACTTCTTTTTATTGTGATTAGCCAGAGAAATATTACCTGCCAGCCTTTGGGAATGTCGTAGCCACCGAAGCTAATGTCTTTGAGTGCTTTTCTAAAGCCTCCAAACGCAATAGGGATGAGCCTCATCAACTCTTGAGCAACCCTCCATGTGTATCTCATCTTTTGTATGTCGCCCCAGCTAAGTCCTGCTCTTTTCTCTCTTCCCTTCAAAAGTTCTTCGTGTTCTGCATAACATTGAGGATTATTACATCCCAACTGATCACCGGTGAACCGTTAATATCAATATTGCACATTCTTAATCAAATTCGTCACAAACCCTTCGATTAGTCATTCAGTTCATGCTTTTGAATTGACGGTATACTTTAATTACCATCGAAAGTTTGGCGCGATATGGAAACAACATGAGTAACAGAGAACCTATCTGAACTATTATAGAATAGTGGTAATATAGCATTGGAATTTAGGGTGCTTGTTAATTACCTTCCAGGACTTTTCTGTGGACCTCGGGATCTCTCGCAAGCTTCCATATCATGAAGCACAAAAGGGTCGCCGAAGTATCGTGACTCGCTATCATCAACATGATGATATTGTCCATGATCGTCTCTTCATCGATGTGTTCTTGATTCTCATCCCTCAACGCTAGCAAGCAGCTTATCACGTCGCTCTTAGGATCCAACGTTCCTGCCGAAATCTCCTCCTTCCTCTTCCTCAATATTGGCAACAAGCGGTCCACGATCCTCGACCTAGCTTGAAGCCCCTTCCGAAAGACGGTGCCAGGGAAATTCAGTGGGAGAGACCAGATGGCCTTGAAGGCAAGACCGAAATCCTCGAAGAGTTCCTCCTTGGTGAGCTCATCCTCGATGCCGAAGAGAATGTCGCACGTTACGTTGAAAGTGAGCTTCTTCATGAAGATGACGGCCTTGATGGTGTCTCTCTGTCTGGTTTCTTCGAGAATTAGGTTTCTGACTATGTCGTCCATTCTCTTAACATAGCTTTGAAGGCTTTCTGGTTTCAAGAAGCTAACCATCGCCCCCCTTACTAATTCGTACCTGCATGATGTTACGTGAATATAGGCACAATTCATCGTCCATGAATGTACCGATTCGAGAATTTATCGTGGCTAATGTTTCCTTGCAAGGCTGTACAATTTGCATGTTGAAAATCGGCACGACACTTAAAATTTCGACAGCGAACCCTCCTAAATTTCCATCAAAGTCTATAATTCTCTACCAAAAATTACCAAGTAGATTTAGAACAAAAGTATGAAAGCAAGGGCATTATCTTCGAATTACAAAAACGTAATCATGATGATAACTTAACTACCTGAATCCAGTGAGTTCGAAAAGATTGTTTTTGCCGCCGATTTTTTGGATTGTGCGGGGCTGTTTAGATGCGAGGACTTCATTATCCATAGTGAGTATGAACTTGTTTCCGGCCTGGCCGACAATGATGACCATCGGCGAACCCATTAGAGAGGTCTTGAACACGGAACCGTACTTGGAAATCCTCTTCTCTACCCATTTTGCGCCTTGCTCCCTCCTCTGCGCTTTCAAAAAACTGAGGGTTTCTCCGATCACCGGGAACCCAAGAGACCCTTTTGGAAGCTTTTTGTATTTTCGGTCCTTTGAGAAAATGATCAGCAAGATGATCGAAGCTAAAAGGAAGGTGACAAAAATTAAATCAGAGGGAGACATAGCTTGAGGGATCAAATCTTGTTGCAACTTTCTGAACAAAAAAAAAAAACAAAATCTTGTTGCAACCAATCGATGGAGTTCAACTCACCACCTCAGAGAACGTGTAAATATACTGTGGGAGATACACTTGCCTAATCATCTCCTGACTGTTTCCGCAATTAGGAATGGATTTCTTACCATATAAAGTGGCGGGGAAAGTGCCAAAAAAAGTCCTAAACCTTTTGCATTAGTGCCAATTTAGTCCTAAACATTTTTTTGATGTCAATTCAGTCCTAAACCTTATGCATTGATGCCAATTTAGTCCTAAATCTTTTTATAGTGCCAATTCAATCCTAAACCTTTTGCATTGGTGTCAATTCAGTCTTAAACCTTTTATTTTTATGCCAATTCAGTCCTTCCGGTCAATTTTTGCTGATGTGGACGCCGAACGGTCAACGGCCGATCACCGGCGTTGACATGGACAATTTTAATAATATTTTTTTCTTTTTTTCTTTTCTTTTTTTTCCCCCTCCCCTCCCTCCTTCCTCCAGCCGGTCGTCGGACCGGCGACTGGCTAGAGGCCAGAGGCCGGCGCCGGCGAGGCTCGCCCACGCCAGCCGGCCGGCATCCACGTCAGCAAAATCCGGCCAAAATTAGTCAGAAGAACTGAATTGGCACAAAAACAAAAGGTTTAGGACTGAATTGGCACCAATGCAAAAGGTTTAGAACTGAATTGACACTAATACAAAAGGTTTAGGACGAATTGATACCAAAAAAAGTTTAGGACTAAATTGGCACAAATGCAAAAAGTTTAGGACTAAGTTGGCACCAATACAAAAGGTTTATGACTTTTTTGGCACTTTTCCCATAAAGTGGCTATTAATAATAGTCAGAATCAAGCTAATTTGGTAATTAGATTATTTAGGAAAGTATATTTTTCTTTTTATTGTCCATACATAGATGCAATTTCCCAATTTTCTAGCTTTCCATTCTTTCTATTTCGTGTTATGGTATCAGAGCTTAAGTTCTCTGGCCTTGCTTCCGCTTCCGCAACTGATTGCCTCCCCTTTTTTTTATTTTTTATCTTCTCCGACTTTTTCAGTCTCACGGGCATTTAGACCAAAAAAAGAAAAATCTCACAAGCATCCATCATAAAATATCTTTTTGGTCATATTCATAAAGTAAATATTCTTTATCGAGTCCTACACAATAACTGAAATCAAACACATCCGCATCACATGATTGAAACAGAACCCCGAGCTCGAAAAAACGTCAATAAAGCATTACTTTATAAAATAAAACAAAATAAATTTAAGCATTAGAAGTGCATGTGTCCACTCGTCCGAATCTGCGCTGTTTTTTTTATTGACGAGAATATATTACTCTAAAATAATTAGAGTAGAGTCGATATTTTAGTTTCTTCTGCTGCTTTGCAATATGTTTTGTCACGCTTTTGTAGTGTGGGTGAAGGATGGATGGACTATTATTTAGCTTGGCTTTCTGATAGTTGCATTGGCGTCGGTATAAACATTTACGGAGATTTATCCCCATGTATTGTATGGAGAATAAAATGAAGCGCATAATTTACGCATAAAATAAAAAATAACAAAAGTATCCTTAATTTTTTAAGTCGAGCAAAGGAAACTTGTCACTTAAACTAGGCATGAATCTTCCACTTCCATTAGATGACACAAGGTAGAGAAACAAGAGACTTGGTAGATTAATTCTACTTGCATTTTTATGCTTAGCAACGCTTCGCTTAGGAGCTCTATCTGGGCGTGATCTTGATCGGTAGGCCCATGGAGGGATAAGGCATGGGTTGGCGAGTGATGGCCTCCTCCGGGTCCGGTTGAAACCACTCGTACCCTATCACCAAGTTGTACACCACCGTGAGCGTCTCCACTCTCGCTAACTCGTTCCCGATACACGTCCTGAGTCCGCCTCCCGAACGGGACATAGGTGAAGGGCGGGGATCGGCCTTGACGGGCTCTCGAAGAGAGACGGTTTGAATTCGCCCGATCTCTCGAATACACCGTCGTTCATGTGTGTTCCGTACACTACCCACAATACCTAGTTGTTAGTAGTGTTTTCATGATGATGTTTTCATTTACAAAGGAAAGACACATGAATGACACCACAAATGAATGATTAAGGAAATTTGATAATTATTGAAAATCATGTCCATATTTATTTTTGTTGAGGAAATTTTCTAAAAAATTTTGAAGCTGACAAAACTATCCATGTTAATCTTGTAAGTCTGACATGTACTCTAAAATATTTTGATCCAGGTAAATATATTCTGGAAGTGACAACTTTAATACTTTAAGAGAACTAAATTTTCTGGACGCTCAGACTCTACGAAGTTCAGAAGGAAGACTTCAGATTTTACGGAATTCAGATCGAGAAGTTCAGACTCTACCATAAAAGTCACTCAGATTTTTTTAAGACAAAGAACTTCATATTCTACTTCTGAAAGGTTCAGACTTTATTGAAGACCTACGCTGACTTAAGTTCTGAATATTAAGCGAGAACTATAAATTCTTCAGACTCATAATTTATTCGGAACGAAACATAACGGCTAGTGATGTGGCGTGGATTTCACAGAAGAAAAGTTTTGATTGACTCAATCTAGATTATAATTGGTTGACAATCAAACTTTAAGGCAAGTATATATCACAATGGATAAAGCTTTACTTATGGAAATCAAGAATCTGGATGTATGGGCAACCGGATTCAGCGGGATTCAGATTTTGTCTACCAACGGCTACTCAATCAATTTTATATAAATCTGTCCAAGGTGAAGATTGGAAGATGATCCTATGAAGATTGTCCAACGGCTAGTTTGGAAGTGGAGGAGTATAAAAGGAGATTAATAAGGAGCATAAGGGAGAAAACGAAATCAAGAATCAACAGTTCAAAGTCTAAGCATACTCCGATCCTACTACTTGTCTTTCCTAAGTTAAACACTGAGATCTTGAGAGACATTTTGTAAGAGTGATTGTGTGAGATACAGAGTCCTATCATTCACAGAGTGATATCACTCAGAACTTGTAATCCCTTTTTGATCATATAGTGGAATCCAACCGGTAGGCTGTCAGCGTGGGAGAGTGGTCGTAGGTTTGATCTAAGCCGAACCACTATAATCGTTTGTGTGCAGTTTTTTCTATCTCTAATTTCTCATTATATTGTTTATGATGTACATTAGCACATTCAGAATCTGAACATTGTTCAGACTTTACCAATTATAAATCGTTTCAGCTTTAAATTCTTCAAAATCACTTAAATCACCTATTCACCCCCCTCTAGGTGATACTCGCTAGCTACATCAATTTTCACATTGATTCGGTAGATAAAAATGTAATTTTCCTAATTTCTTTTTTAATCAGCCAGAGATATGTTACCTGCCAGCCTTTGGGAATGTCGTAGCCACCGAAGCTAATGTCTTTGAGTGCTTTTCTAAAGCTACCAAACACAAGAGGGATGAGCCTCATCAATTCTTGAGCAACCCTCCATGTGTATCTCATCTTTTGTATATCTGTAAGAATAATGTGGCCCACATGATGTTATGAATTAATGGTTTAATAAATATTTAAGTGCTAAAACGGCTATGAAAAATAGATGAAAATGTATAATTCTATTGAGAAGTTAAAGTTCCTCTGAAGAGGTGCAACTCTTATGAAGTGGGATAAGCTTTGATGGAAGGTACCACTTGAAGGGGTATATGTAAAAGAATCTGGTCCTCTCTCCACCCACGACAACGCACGAAAAAGAACGTTGTATTTTTATCCTCCATCGATAAGATACGTTAAGAGAAAAGTGGGTAAGGGAGAGAAATTAGATTTCTTCGTTTCTTCTGTTTTCTGCAACAATTATCTTCAAGGGAACGCTATGGATAAAGGTATGTCTTCATCCCTCTTATTGTGAAAATCATGAAGATCTAAAATCCTAGATGTCATAAATTTTCCGCATAAAAGGATTACGTTATAACTTACAATATCCCCCAGCTAAGTCCTTCTCCTTTCTCTCTTCCCTTCAAAATTTCCTCTTGTTCTGCGTAACATTGATAATCACATCAGACTGATCATCGGCTAAATATCGCATCTGAAGTTTGACATAGTATTTGAGCATCCATTCAAATTCGTAGCAAACCCTTCGATTAGTTTATTCAGTTCAAGTTTTTGGATTGTGACGATCCAATTTAATTTAGCACTAAAAGTTTAGTGTGATATGATAATAACAAGAGTAATGATAAACCTATCTAAATTATTATAGGATTGCGGAGATATATTTGGACTGCTTCTTGATTACCTTCCAAGACTTTCTTGTAAACCTCAGGATCTCTCGCTAGCTTCCAAATCATCAGGCTCAAAAGAATTGCCGTCGTATTGTGACTTGCAATCACCAACGTGACAATGTGTCGATGATCGTCCCTTCATTGATCGGTTCTTCATTCTCATCACTCAACGCTAGCAAGCAGCTCATCACGTCGCTCTTTGGGTCCATCCTTCCTGCCGAAATCTCCTCCTTCCTCTTCCTCAATATTGGCAAAATGCGGTCCATGATCCTCGACCTAGCTTGAAGTCCATTCCGAAAGACGGTGCCCGGGAAATTCAATGGGAGAGACCAGATGGCCTTGAAGGCAAGAGTGAAATCGTCAAACAGTGTCTCCTAGGTGAACTCATCCTTGATGCCAAAGAGAATGTCGCACGCTACGTCGAAAGTGAGCTTCTTCATGAAGACGACGGCCTTGATGGTGTCTCTCTCTCTGGTTTCTTCGAGAATTAGGTTTCTGACAATGTCATCCATTCTCTTGACATAGTTTTGTAGGCTTTCTGGTTTGAAGAAGCTAATTGTCGCCCCCTTTATAAGTTTCTACTTGCAGGATGTTATGTGAATATTTGCACAATTCATCATCCATAAAAGTACAGTTTCGAGAATTTATCATAGCTAATGTTTTCCTCGTATTGCTTTAGCATTTGCATGGATAGTGCATGGTCATGATATCAAAAGGTTTAAAATTTGCAAGACAGTTCAAATTTCGGGAAAATTACCAAAAAAGTCCTAAACCTATTGCAATTGTGCTAATTCAGTCCTAAACCTTTTGCAATTGTGCCAGTTCAGTCCATCCGGCCACTTTTGGCCGACTAGCGCTGACGTGAAAGTCGGCCGGCTGACGTGACATTATTTTAATATTTTTTTTTCGAATTTTTTTTCCTTTCTCTTTTTTTTTCTTTCCTTCTTCTCCCTGGCCGGACCGGCCAGGGGGAGGCTCGCCCTCGCCGGCACTAGTGAGGGCGAGCCTCGATGTCACTGGGCAAGCCTCGCCTAGCTCCGGTGAGAGCAGAGCTCGCCATGGCTGGGCGAGCTCGACCTTGTTCAGATCTGGTGAGGTTGAGCTCGCCCAACCATGGTGAGCCGCCCTCGCCGCCGCTAGGCGAGCTCGACCTCGTCAGATCTGGGCGAGGTCGAGCTCGCCCAGCCATAACGAGCCGCCCTCGCCGCCGTTGGGCAAGCTCGACCTCGCCGCCGCTAGGCGAGCTCGACCTCGCCCAGATCTGGCGAGGTCAAGCCTCGCCGGCATTGGTGAGGGCCGGCGATGGCGGAGCTCGAATTTGTTTTTATTTTTTTCCTTTCTCCATTTTTTTTTTGCCTTTCCTTCTTCCCTTGGTGGCCGGACCGGCCAGGGGCTAGGTCCGGCTCACCGGCCACTGGGGAGGCTCGCCGTCGCTGGGTGAGGTGAGGGCGGAGCTCGCCATGGCTAGGCGAGCTCGACCTCGCCCACAGCCATGGCGAGCTCTGCCCTCGCCGGCCCTCGCTGGAGCTGGGCGAGGCTCGCCCTCACCAGTGCTGGCAAGGGCGAGCCTCCCTAGTGGCCGAACCAACCAGGGGGAGGAAGGAAAGAAAAAAAAAATTCAAAAAAAAAATATTAAAATAATGCCACGTCAGCCGGCCGGCGTCCACGTCAGCGCCGGCCGGCCAAAAGTGGCCGGATGGACTGAATTGACACAATTGCAAAAGGTTTAGGATTGAAATGGCAAAAAAAAAAAAGGTTTAGGACTGAATTGTCACAATTGCAATAGGTTTATGACTTTTTTGGTAATTTTCCCTTCAAATTTCGAGAGCGAATACTCCTTAATTTTCACAAAAGTATGCATTGAAGTTCATAATCACTAAATTAAAAAAATTAGTTACAACGATAACTTAAACTACCTAGATCCGGTGAGTTCGAAAAGATTGTTTTTGCCACCGACGGCTTGAATTGTGAGGGGTTGTTTGGCGGCAAGGACATCATCATCTGTAGTGAGTATGAACTTGTTACCGGCCTGACCGATGATGACGACCGTCGGCGAGCCCATTAAAGAGGTTTTGAATACGGAACCGTACTCGGAAATTCTCTCATCTACCCATTTTGCGCCTTGCTCCTTTCTTTGAGCTTTTAGAAAACTTAGGGTTTCTCCGATTATAGGGAACCCAAGAGACCCTTTTGGAAGATTTTTGGTTTTTGGGTCCTTGAAGAAAATAATCAGCAAGACAATTGAAGCTAAAAGGAAGGTGGCAAAAATTAAATAAGAGAAAGACATGGCTTGAGGGTTCAAATCTTGTTGCAACCAGTCGATGGAGTTCAACTCATCATTCTAAAGAATGTGTGAATATATTGTAGCAATCTCAAAGAATAAGGTCACCAAAGATCTGACGATATTAACCTTAGTTTAGTCCTCTCGATGATAAGATCACACGGATTTGGTGATGCCGGTGTATTAAGTCTATCAATATCGACGACGACATACAAATTAGGATCGATATCAACCACGACATACAAAGTATGGGATGGAAACATAATAACAGGACAAATTCATATATATTTTGCTTCCCCAATAACGTTCTTATAGTGATCGTCCGTTTCCATACGACGAGCAACAACCAAACAATGATGTAAAACAAGTGGAAGAGGTTCAAGTTTGCATAGATTCTTTCTCCGTCTTCTCTCTTGATTCCTCGCTATGAACTCCAAAACGACATGGAAGCTCAAGGCTAGCTCTTGCATTATGTGCAGCCAATGTTTCTTTGGAATGACCGACCCTTTAAGATCATAAGATAATTCAAGAAAGAAGCCTAAGTCCAACTTAAGAATGCATTCTCCAAAGCGCCAAGACGCAATCGTTCAAGGATCAGTAGAGTTTTCCGACTTTGGTGCCACAGTTAAGTACGTATGGACATATGCATTACTCTCACGTTTTCGACACTTTAAAAACAATTGAAGCCCCATCTTAGTTTGTTCGAAGAAAGTATTAGGGAAAACCAATCACTCATCTTATTCTTGCCGCCAACATAAGATAGACATAGCTAATCGCAATATAGGAGACGTGGGCTATCGATGTTCTCAGATGTGGATTTCAACCCACGAGATCTTCTAATTTCTTTGGACTATTAAAAGAAGTTCAGGATAACTATTTTCCAGCTTTGGGGTCATGGTAAATGAATCGATCTGATTCTCAATCTAACCAAGCTCTAGTTACCACCAAGAGATGATCCATGTTGGAAAAAATCCATGCCCAAGCTCGTTAGTTAATTATCATATTCAATGACACTTAGCTTTAATAGGTGAAATGAGTCATGTATCCGTTGATAGAGTGACACTTCACTTCACACCCATCTACCCTAACATATTACTTGATATGTAAATTATTATTTTAGTTCGACATTTCATTTTGATGAATAACTCTTTTTTTCTTTCACATAAGATTAATAGTTGGTAAATTCATATAAGAAACAAATAAAATCTTAAATTTGGTAATCGATAACGAAAGTTGATAAATAAAAAAATAAATAAATTTTGGTAGATTATGAAATGTGAGTTGATAACGCAAAGAGAGGTCGAGGGGGGAGCAAGGAGAGGAAGCGGATTAGTTTAAGGTTTTGCTTATATGAGTAAATAGTTGGTGAATGTATATTGATGAGGTGAACCTACAGATGAGAGGGTATTTGGCAAAGTCCCACATTCTAAAAATTTATCGTGTGAAGCAATTAATATACTCTAATTATTTTGAACATATTAAGAAGTCTCAACTTCGAGATATCCCAAATTAAGGTATCAGACTTTTGTCGTGTATTCCGACAGATAGCATTATAGACAATGATTGGTAGACTCTTGATGCGCATCTGGTCTTGATGAACATATCCCGCGCTTGATGGCAGGATTTCTGGAGTGCACTTGGAGTGTCGGGCTTCTGCCAAGCATCCAAACTTATAATTATCCAGAAATAAATGAAGCCCAACGACCAACTATTTTCCCATAAATGCATGGGTGATTATAAGGTATTAACATATGGTTAGATATAAATATATAGCAAACATAGGTCATTAATCCCAAAATGAACCAAACATGATTGAGCATTGAAATGCTCCAAATAAAATTAATAACTAAGCCAATCTTTTTATACTTCCCAACTACCTCACTCAAATTTCAATATTGTTTGTTATCTTCTTCACCAAAGGGACTCGGCAAAGGGGTTTCGGCGCGTGGTCCTTTTTTTGGTTGTCGGGGTATTTTGCCTTTTTTAAAAAAAAAAATAATAACAAATAAATATGAGGATGGACATAAGCAGACATGCATGGCCACGGCCATATAATATGTGGCTAGACATGAAATTTGACAGGGCATAGTACTGTCGTAAGGATACTTAAGGAATGAATAGGCATATATATAAAGCGACCAATCAAGGAAATGCTACGTATGCATTGAGAACACAGCATATTCTTGATATAACTCGCCCTCTGTATAGCAGGGGATTCTCTCAGCTTTCTCGAGACGAAGATGATAATGGCCAACAAAGATCAGATATGAAGGCATCTATTCCAAGCTAGAACTAGAAAATTTCAATGGAATTCAAAAAAAAAGAAAAGAAGAGATATCATAGCATACTCTAGCGGAGTAAAAGAAATTTTACGCAAGGGGCTTTACATACAGTTTGATTCGAAAGAGTGGGTAGTTATAATAGGTTTATAATTTTTTGGATAATTTTCTCTAGAAGCTAAAATGCTTGAGTCGGCCGGTGTACTACTCATGATCGAGGATAGTCCATGTCATACAATCCTTTGAATTGGGCCAACTTCTGAGACTGCAACACTTGGCAAGCGAAGTTGAGTCTTTGTCTTGTCTAGAGAAGTACTGGTGGAGGGCAAAGAGGAAAAGTGTCAGAAAAGTCATAAATCTATTGCATTTGTGTCAATTTAGTCCTAAATCTTTTTTTGTACCAATTCAGTCATAAACATTTTATCTTTGTACCAATTTAGTTCTTTCGGCTAATTTTGATTGGATTTTATTGACGTGGACGCCGGCCGACTTATGTAGCACCGTCGGCGATGATGTGGACAACTTTTAATAATATTTTTTGAATTTTTTTGTTTTTTTTTCTTTTCCTTTCTTCTTCCTCCAGCCGGTTGCTGGCCGGAGGCTAGGGCCGGCGAGGGACCTCGCCAGTGGCCACGAGGTCACGGCCTTTGCCAGGGGCTGGGCAAGGCACGACCTCGCCGGATCTGGCAAGGTCGGGCCTCGCCCATGGTCGGCAGGGCCCGACCCTCGCCACGAGGCCGCCCTCGCGGCCATTCAGCTAGGTCGAATGGTTGCAAGGGAGCCTCGCGCTGGGCTGGCGAGGGTCGAGCCCCACTGGCCATGGTCCTACAAGGTTGTGCCTCACCCAGCCGTTGGCGAGGGCTCGAGCCTTCGCTAGTGGCAGCGAGGTCGCAAGCGAACCTCGCCAGCAGCTGGGTGAGGCTTGCCGTCGCCATCGCTGGCAAGGGACCTCACCAGCCCTAGCCTCCAGCCGGTCGCCGGGCTAGAGGAAGAAGAAAGGAAAAGACAAAAAAAGAAAAGAAAAAAATATTAAAATATTAAAAAAATTCAAAAAATATTAAAATATTATTAAAAGTTGTCCACGTTATCGCCGGCGGTGCCACATAAGCCGGCTGGTGTCCACGTCAACAAAATCCGATCAAAATTAGCCGGAAGGACTGAATTGGCACAAGATAAAATGTTTAAGACTGAATTGGCACAAAAAAAAATTAGGACTAGGGCCCGTTTGGTTCGACTTTGGGGAATGCCTTTGGGGGAATGCAAATACCTTTGGACTAAAGGAGTTTTCCGAAATGAAAGTAGTGTTTTTTAAAATCACATTTGAAAGCAACTTTGGCCTAAATACCGTTTGGTAAAAACTATGTTTTGTAAAGGATTTTTGCTAACATTTAAAAAAAAAAAGTTTCCGATGGAGCTCAACCACCGGCAACCGCCGCCGGCCAGATCTGGTCACCGGCCACCGCCGCCACAGGTGAGGCCGCCTGACCTCAGGTGAGGCCGCCTGAGGTCGCGCGACCTCAAGTGTCGCCTAGGTCGTGCAACCCAGGTGATGCTTGAGGTCCGGCGACCACCACCTAGGGTCCCGCGACCATAGGTGACAATCGTCAGGGCTGCGCAACCCCGGCGACCGCCGCTTAGGGTCGCACGACCCCCAAGCGGTGGTCGCCGAGGTTGGGCTAGCCCTCAGGCGGCGGTCACCGACCGCCGAACCTACTGTCTAGGGAAGATGAATAGTGCGTAATAAACAGTGCAAGTTGCATTCCGAAAATGCAACTTTCCAAGGCACCTCCAACCTTGCATTGGCCAAAAGTCCCTTGGAGAGCATTGGAAATGCAATTGCATCTTCTCAAAGTGAGTAAAAAAAGTTGCCAAACACCATTTGTATTTGCCCAAAGAACTTTAGAGCCCAAATGAGCATTTCAAATGCTGAACCAAATGGGGCCTAAATTAGCATCAATGCAATAGATTTATGACTTTTTCAAGACTTTTCCCGAGGGTAAAGTGATTTGGATTGGCTGTTGCAGATCAACAAAGGCAAGACTTTGCAATGTTTGCTTGTATCATTTGTTTCTTTTTTGGCTTTGCAATATATTTTGTCGCGCTTTTGTAGCGAGGGTGAAAGGTCAGATGGACTAGTATTTAGCTTAGCTTTGTGATAGTTGTATTGGCATCGGTATAGATATTTACGGAGATTTATCCCGACATATTGTCAGGAGAATAAAATGAAGCGCCATAATTAACACGTAAAAAGAATAAAATAACAAAATAATCCTTCAAATTTAAGTCACGCTAGGGAAAATTGTCACTTAATTTAGGCATGAATCTTCCATTAGATGACACAGGTGGAGAAACAAAGGACTTGGTAGATTAATTCTACATGCATTTTTATATGCTTAGCAGCACTTCATTTAGGAGCTCTTTCTGGGCCTGATCTTGATCGGCAGGCCCATCGAGAAATAAGGCATGAATTGGCGAGTGATGGCCTCCTCCGGCTCCAATTGCGACCACTTGTACCCTGTCACCAAGTTGTGCACCACCGTGAGCGTCTCCACTCTCGCAAACTCGTTCCCAATACACGTCCGGAGTCCGCCCCCGAACGGGACATAGGTGAAGGGCGGGATCGGCCTCGACAGGCTCTCAAAGCGAGACGGTTCGAACTCATCCGGTCTATCGAATACATCACTTTTCATGTGCGTTCCACATGCTACCCATAACACCTGAAACACATTTGCAAATTCAAATCATTCCACACCACAAATGAATGATTAAGGAAATTTGACAATGATTGAAAATCACGTACATACTTATTTTCACATTGATTCGGTAGATACATATGCAATTTTCCTAAATTTTTTTTATCAGCCAGAGAAATATTACCTGCCAGCCTTGGGGAATAACGTAGCCACCGAAGCTAATGTCTCTGAGTGCTTTTCTAAAGCTGCCAAACACTGGAGGGATGAGCCTCATCAACTCTTGAGCAACCCTCCATGTGTATCTCATCTTTTGTATATCGCCCCAGCTAAGTCCTCCTCCATTCTCTCTTCCCTTCAAAATTTCCTCATGTTCTGCGTAACATAGATAATCACATCAAACTGATCACCGACAAATCGTTAATATAAATACCGCATCCGAAGTTTAACATAGTATTTGCGCATCCATTCAAATTTGTCGCAAACCCTTGAATGAGTCATTATGTTCAAGCATTCGGATTGACAATACAATTCAATTTAGCACAAAAAGTTTAGTGTGATATGATAATAACATGAGTAATGATAAACCTATCTAAACTAATATAGGATTGCAGGGATATATTTGGACTGCTTCTTGATTACCTTCCAGGACTCTCTTGTAGACCTCAGGATCTCTTGCTAGCTTCCATATCATCAGGCTCAAAAGAATCGCCGTCGTATCGTGACTCGCGATCACCAACATGACAATATTGTCGATGATCGTCCCTTCATCGATCAATTCTTCATTCTCATCCCTCAACGCTAGCAAGCAGCTTATCACGTCGCTCTTAGGGTCTGTCACTCCTGCCGAAATCTCCTCCTTCCTCTTCCTCAATATTGGCAAAATGCGGTCCACAATCCTCGACCTAGCTTGAAGCCCCTTCCGAAAGACGGTGCTTGGGAAATTCAATGGGAGAGACCAGATGGCCTTGAAGGCAAGAGTGAAATCCTCGAAGAGTTTCTCCTTGGTGAACTCATCCTGGATGCCAAAGAGAATGTCGCAGGCTGCGTTGAAAGTGAGCTTCTTCATGAAGACGAAGGCCTTGATGGTGTCTGTCTCTCTGGTTTCTTCGAGAGTTAGGTTTCTGACAATGTCATCCATTCTCTTGACATACTTTTGTAGGCTTTCTGGTTTCAAAAAGCTAATCATCGCGCCCTTTATAAGTTTGTACCTGTAGGATATTATGTGAATAAATGCGCAATTCATCATCCATAAAAGTGAGTTTCTAGAATTTATCATAGCTAATGTTTCCTCGTAAGTCTTTAGCATTTGCATGGATGGTGGTCAAGATATCAAAGGGTTTAAAATCTGCAGGACACTTCAAATTTGGGGAGCGAACGCTCCTTAATTTTCACAAAAGTATGAATTGAAGCACATAATCACTGAATGACAAAAACTAGTCACAATGATAACTTAAATAACCTGGATCCAGTGAGTTCGAAAAGATTGTTTTTGCCACCAACGGCTTGGATTGCGGGGGGCTGTTTGGCGGCGAGGACATCATCATTTGTAGTGAGTATGAACTTGTTACCGGCCTGGCCGACGATGATGACAGTCCGCGAGCCCATTAAAGAGGTTTTGAATATGGAACCGTACTTGGAAACCCTCTCCTCTACCCATTTTGCACCTTGCTCCTTTCTCTGAGCTTTAAGAAAACTTAGGGTTTCTCCGATTATCGGGAACCCAAGAGACCCTTTTGGAAGATTTTTGTTTTTTGGGTCCTTGGAGAGAATAATCAGCAAGACAATTGAAGCTAAAAGGAAGGTGGCAAAAATTAAATACAAGAAAGACATGGCTTGAGGGTTCAAATCTTGTTGCAACCAGTCGATGGAGTTTGACTCTTCATTCTAGAGAATGTGTCAATATATTGAGCAATCTCAAAGAATAAGGTCACCAAAGAACTGACGATCTTAATCTTAGTTTAGTCCTCCCGATGATTAGATCACACGGATTTGGCGATGCCGGTGAATCTAGTCTATCAATATGGACGACAACATACAAATTAAGTATGGTATGGAAACATAATAACAGGACAAATTCATATATATTTTCTACCCTCACGACGTTCTGGTAGTGATCATCCGTTTCCACACGACGAGCAACAACCAAACAATGATGTAAAACAAGAGGAAGGGGTTCAAGTTTGCATAAATTCTTTCTCCGTCTTCTCTCTTGATTCCTCGCTATGAACTCCAAAACGACATGGAAGCTCAAGGCTAGCTATTGCATTATGTGCAGCCAATGTTTCTTTGGAATGACCGACCATTTAAGATCATAAGTTAATTCAAGAAATAAAGCCTAAGTCCATACTTAAGAATGCATTTTCCAAAGCGCCAAGACGCAATCGTTCAAGGAATTATAGAGTTTCCGACTACGGTGCCATAGTTAAGTACGTATGGACGTATACGTTACTCTCACATTTTCAACACTTCAAAAACAATTGAAGCCCCATCTTAGTTTGTTCGAAGAAAGATTGTTCGAGCTAGCTTTACTGGCGGCAGCGAGTCTGTTGTTGGTATTTGTTTTTAATACATGCAGCGGAAGATGTCCAAATCAGCATTCAACAGCAGCGAGCTCGGCGGGTATGAGACTTGGCGCACGTGGCGGCGCGTGGGGAGGATTCCTATCTGGCTTTTCTGAAGGCGACGAGTCCGATGGTGATGTCTATACTCCGAAATTACCAGTGGAAGAGTCTCAAACGGCAACTGAAGCTGCAAATTGGAGGGTGAAATCGGAGCGACGTGACCAATGCAGTTGGCGTCATGATGACTAAGAACCGTTCAATGCGGCTGGCATTACTAATACTAAGTTAAGATTTGTGAACGAAGAGAAACATAATATTCTATTCATTAGCAAGTGAAGAGAATATAAGCCTATTTATAGTGTTTGACGGAAAATTTTAAAAAGAGATGACTCATTTTGCGACTGAAAAATTCCGCCGCTACTAGGTGTCGCCGCAAAATAAATTTAACGAACATAAATTCTGCCGCAAAATTAGCCATGAATACAATCCGTCGCGAAAATTCGTCGCAAATATTTCGTCGCAAATTTGCGACGAACTCTATCCGTCGCAAAATCCGTCTCAAATTTCGTCTGAAATTCGTCGCAAAGTCGTCGCAAATTTCGTCGCAAAATTAGCGACGAATACAATTCGTCGCAAAGTTCGTCACAAAAATTCGTTGAAAAATGTATTCGTCGCAAATTAGCGACGAACTGTAATGATCACAAAATTCGGCTTAAAATATTCGCCGCTATGTTTACATCATTTCGGCCATAAATTCTTGTACATATCAAACAAAGGAGACAATGACATATAATTGAAACAGAAAAACGAACAAACCATAAATTCTGACAAACAAGCCACAATGACATATAATTGAAACAAATAACTGAAGGAAAGTTACAGAGTCTGACATGATGAGATATTCAATCTTACAATACATTCAAAACATGAACTAAGAGACGAGACAACCATAGAAGACGCAGAAAAACCATACACAAGAAGACGCTGACTTTGATACGATGGCAGGACACCAAAAGTAGTCACTTTTGTCGAGACCGAGGAAATGTCGATACATAAATCAGTCCGAATATAAAAGAAGCGTTTATGCATGGATGTGGAACTAGGTGTAAAATAACAAGAGAGTTAACAAAAATACGTTTCAGGACGAACATAAATGTTCTTACTTATGAATATGAGTGAAATTATGAAAAACCAAGATTATGAAGCAAGCTTACCCCCGATTTTGAGAATTTCAACTAGAAAGACCGAAGAAAATCATCATCATCATCATCATCAGCATTCTCGGCATCAATGTGTTGGTCATCATTGTGCCCATCACCTACTAGATTGGCTGGAGGTACAGGAGGATCGTCATAGCGATTGAGGTTAAGGTGTTGCATAACGAGTCTCATTTGTTGTTCTAAGTTATTTATTTGTTCGTCCTTTTGAACAAGTAAATTATTCAGACGATACACTTCTTGGGTCAATTGCTCGTCTTGTCGTGGCTTTCTTCGACCAGTCGTAGTGGATGATGAACTTCCAGGATTATTCGGCATGTACATCCTTGACAACGATCCCATCCCAAATATTTTTCCTTTTTTCACCCCACCCGTTGCCTCCATCCATAATGCCATATTATCAACTAGTGGCCTAGACTCAGGACAATCATCACTACCACTAGCACTGCTCATTAAAAGTTCATCATATTTTTCCTACATTAACAATGTAGATGAAAATAAAATCACTATATATATACATATATCTACCATAAATATTGAAAGTATTCACAGTTTTCATTATAGTTTACATATAAGCCAAAGTATAACCTTACATACCTTAACAGCTTTTGCTCGATCGCCAGTCCATGTCTTATCTTTCTTTTGAAATGTGCGTTCAAATGTAGCTGCAAATGTGGGTTCCGTCCCCAATTCTTGTGCCTACAAAATGTAAACATGAGTCATTAAATTAAATTAACTTATAACTCATTTAACAGACTTACCAGTCATTTGCGATGCTCCGCAATGTTGATAGAACCCCCGACATATGTGGTGACCCATCACTAGAGCTAGAAGATCGATTCTTCTTATTCCGCTCACGAGTTGCCGACTGTTCGGATGCCCAAAATCTGTTAATTGCCGCCCAATTGTCAGCTGTAAAGAAAGACGGCTTCACTTGCTTGATCTTCGCTCTATTCATGACATTTCGCATAAAATCACCGTTTTTCTTATCGAAAATTCTTCTCACTTCATTGTCTTCCGCTTCCTCCCACTTGAACTTCCGCTGCAATGAATAAAAACACAAATTGAAAGTTATTATGATGATTACATATCCATAACCATGCACCAGACAAATATAGACAGATTTTGTAAAGTTCATGTCGGGGAAAATATCTGGTCCTTTAGGTATCGAAAACTACAGAGTTGTTCTGGTCCCTTTACATCATTCTTGACCATCAATATACTACACCAAACTTAATTGGTGAGAAAATAAAATATGTAAAACTTACCTTGAACTCATTCCACCACATTTCTTTCACTTCTTGTGGAACACTTCTGTAATTAATATACTCTCCCATCCAAAAGTTTCTTACTATTTTGTTCAATTCCCTCACAACAGACGGAGCATCCGTGAATCTGCAATCATACGGATATTGTGCAATATCGACAATTCAGTTGACATCAATATCTAAAGCCCTAAATATTACATATACTAAAATAAAAATGAAGTACTTACGAATCTCCAAATGGGCATATGAAGAATCGGGGGCTGCGGGCGGCCGCCGATCGCCGACGGCAGGCGAGGGGGCTGCGGGGACGGGCGACGGGCGGGAGCGCGGGGGCGGGTGCGAGGCCGGGTGGCGACGGCGGACGAGGCTGCGACGGCGGCAAGGCGAGGGAGCAGCGCAGATCGGGCTTGGGCGGCGTCGGGGAAGGGGGTAATAATATCATAATTTCCGACGGAAATTGAAGTTCCGTCGCAAATTTGCGACGGACTTTCTATGTCCCGTCGCAAATTTGCGACGGAACTCCTCCTTCCGTCGCAAATTTGCGACGGACTTTGAATGTCCGTCGTAAATTTTCCACCGACAAAAAATTCCCGACGGAAAAAAAAATCCGTCGCAAGCAACGTAAAAAAAAATCCGTTCGCAAATTTCGAACCGCAAAAATTCCCTCGCAAAATTTGGGACGGATCAGTATAGTCCGTCGCAAATTTGCGACGGATCAGTATAGTCCGTCACAAAATTTGCGACGGATAGGTTGAGTTCTGTCGCAAAATTTGCGACGGACATAATTTAATCCATCGCAAATTTGCGACGGACTATACTGATCCATCGCAAATTTGCGACGGAACTCCACTTTCCGTTGCAAATTTGCGACAGATTAAATTATGTCCGTCGCAAATTTTCGACCGACAAAAAATTGACGACGTAAAAAAAAATCCGTGGCAACTTTGCGATGGAAATAAAAATCCGTCGCAAATTTGCGATGGATTAAATTATCCGTCGCAAATTTCGAACGGTAAATTTTCCCTCCCAAAATTTGCGAAAATTTGCGACGGACCAGTATATTCCGTCGCAAATTTGCGACGGACTCAAGCTGTCCGTCGCAAATTTGCGACGGAATATACTGGTCCGTCGCAAATATGGACATACTACATATCGTTGTAAATTTGTGACGTCTTTTTTTCGGTCAAAAATTTAGCATATCATTTATTTGGGTCCTAAATTTGCCACGTCGTTTTGTCAATCCAAAATTTTGGCATCTCAAATTTTGCAATGGAAATTAGAATATCGGAAATGTTAGGGCACGTTAATAATATTTGACTTGTCGACATTTAGGGACAAAATTTCGGATGATCAATTAAAATAAAAAGGATAATCGACAATAACAATAATAAAAAAGCACAATAACAATAATAACAAGAACAATAATGATAACAACCAAAATAGCACTTGTAGCGTTAATAATTACACATCTATAGTGTTTTGTGACAAAAATTTTAATCTTCATCTTCGTCTTCGTCTTCGTCTTCGTCCTCGTCTTCGTCATCTGTCTGAAAATCAGATTCTGAATATTCTTGTACATTTAATTCGCAAATTTCAGTTGGATCCACATCTATCATTGCTCCACACGGATCTCGTAAAGTTGGTATGTTATATTCCTCAATTTCAACTGTGTTACACACTTCCTCTTGTTGGTAGGCTCTATCCTTCCAGTATTCCTCGATTTTCCTCCGTGCTTTGATTTTACATACAGCCCACCAATCAGCTTTGTCACGTTTCAAATTAGG